GCCATGGGACACCACATTGCAAATTGTTACGTATTCTATTATCAGGGTCAAGATGGCAATCAGGGACATAGTCCACTATGCTATGGACTAAAGCCAAAAGATCCAGGATTGCCTGCCTTGGACAGCTAGATCTTCTCCCCAGGAAGTGCCTGAGGGAGATATACACACAGGTGACAGTGACAAAGTAAAGTTCTACATTATTAGTAGCTTGGCTTGGGTCCTAAATGCCAGTGTGAGTGTTCTGATGAACCGACCTGGGCATGTAGCCCAGGTTAAAGGCCTCCAGAAGCCTCTCTTTGTTCATTAAGTCACTGGTGCCAAGGACTAAAACACTTAGCACACTCAACAACATGTAAGATCAGTGTTGAGGAGGGGTCAGAGCAGACTCCTGAGAGGGCCATTTTCTGTGTGTGATTTTCAAAAAGTACATTGATCTCATCCATTGGAAATTTTGGCCCCATTAGCATCCTGTGTTAGTATTTCCTCACCCTTACTCTTCCCTTCAATTTCACTTCTCAGAAAGTGGAATCTGAGAAGTTGTTGCTTCATCCCCAAACAGTTCAGATTTGCCCTTAAGAGTCAAACACCATGATTATCTGTGGCACATATTGCTTTAACTGGAGAAATTATACTTTTGATAAGAATTGGCAAAATAATATTATATTTCTGTATTCATTTCGTGATTCAAAACTGACTTGGAAATCATAGTGGATGGTGTATTAGGCTGTTCTTGCATTGCTATAAATGCATACCCAAGACTGGTCAATTTCTAAGAAAAGAGGCTTATTTGGCTCATAGTTGTGGAGGCTGCACAAGCAATGACATTGGCATCTGCTTGACTTCTGAGGAGGCCTCAGGGGGCTTATAATCATGGCAGAAGGGGAAGTGAAAGCAGGAGCAAGAGAGAGTGGGGTGGCAGGGAAGGGATCACACACTCTTAAATGATCAGATGCCCTGTGAACTTAGAGCAAGAGTTCACTTATCACCAAGGGGATGGCCCAAGCCATTCATGAAAGATCCTCCCTCATGATCCAAACACCCCCCACCAGGCCCCACCTCCAGCATTGAGATTACTTTTCAGTATGAGATTTGGGTGGGGACAAATATCCAAACTGTATCAGATGGTGTATTAAAATATTTTCACGCTGATGAGAAAGACATACCCAAAACTGGGAAGGAAAAGAGGTTTAATTGGACTTACAGTTCCCTCTAGCTGGGGAGGCCTCAGAATCTGGTGGAGGCGAAAGGCACTTATATGGCAGCAGCAAGAGAAAATGAGGAAGAAGCAAAAGCAGAAACCCTTGATAAACCCATAAGATCTCATGAGACTTATTCACTATCATGAGAATAGCATGGGAAAGATGGGCCCCCGTGATTCAATTACCTCCCCCTAGGTCCCTCCCACAATATGTGAGAATTCTGGGACATAAATTCAAGTTGAGACTTGGTGGGGACACGGCCAAACCATATCAGATGGTGAACAGGGAAGTGTTCCAGTGGTTATATGGCCATGTTTCTTGCCAAAACTTCCTGCATATGATTTTGGTTAATTGCAGTTTCTGGAAGTATCAGCTAATTCTTGGTCTAGAGCATCTTTCCCTTTCTTAGGGTGGGATAAGAATCCAGGAGCTTTCCTTGGTATGATACAGGCAGAGGGCACTCTTGTCTTCAGTTCACCACCGTTGCAGTGGTTATCCTGTTCTCCAAGCCCGTGATGTTCCTTAGGGACAGCAGTTGTGCTGTTTCTGTGTCGAGCCTGGGCATTATGCTCATGTGAAACCTTTTTCCCTTGATTTTTGCTACTTCTCCAGGGCACTTCTAGGAAATGAGGCTTGGTATCTGTTAGTGCTATAATTTGCCTATCTCTGACCCCTCCAAGCTGAGGGAAGCTTCACCTTTCTCCGTGCCACCTCTACTCCACCCTCTGGTCCCTTACTGAGGGCAGACCTTCTAGGAAATTCTTTGACGTTATGCCCTTCTTATTTCTGCCCTGTAAATATAAATGTGCCCTGGAATGAATGAACATAAAGCCCTGGCTATGGGTTTTGAAAATAGAAGTGACAATACACAAATCAAAATCTTAAAAATTACCTTGCGCCAGAGATTATTTCAAAAATAGTTTGATGGAAGTACAATTGACATACAACAGACTGCACTCATTAAAAATGGACAAGTTGACCAGATTTGACTTATATATAAACCCGTGAAATCATCACCATAATCAAGATAATGACCACATCCATCACTGCCAAAAGTTGCTTGCGACCCTTTATCATTCCTCTGGCCACTCCTCCTTCCCCCAGGAAACCACTGATCTTTTTCTGTCGCTATAGATTAACTTGTTTATGTTTTCTAAAGTTACATATAAATGGAAGCATACAGTATGTACTTTTTTGGTCTGACTTTTTTTACTAAGCATAATTGTTTTGAAATTTACCCATGCTGTCGTAGCATGCATCAATAGTTCATTTTAACACCGAATAGCAAGGCATTGTCTAGGGTGGCACAAGTGAAGTGCCTGGGGTTAAAATGCACTCAGTTCTTTATGATGGTAATCATAATGATGATGACGATGATGATGATGATGATTATTATTATTATAGAAACATTTAATCAGACCTGCTCTCTTAACAAGCTTTTAAGTGTAATATACAGTACCATTAAGTATAGGCACAGTGTTGTACAGTGGATCTCTAGAAAGTATTAATCTTGTATAACTGAAATTTATATCCCTTGAATAGGAACTCCCCATTTCCTTTTCCTCCCAACTCCTGGCAACCATCATTCTACTTTCTGTTTCTATGAGTTAGGGTATTTTTGATACCTTACATATGTGGAATCATGCAGTATTTGTCCTCCTATGGCTGGTTTATTTCACTTAGAATTATGTCTACTGGGTTCAACCATGTGGTCACAAATGTTAGGATTTCTTTCTTTTTTAAAGCTGAATAATATTCTATTGCATGGGTAACCCACATTTTCTGCATCCACTTATCTGCTGATAGTCATTTGTGTTGTTTCCATGTCTCGGCTTTTGCAAATAGTGCTCCAATGAACCTGGAAGGGCAGATATCTCTTCAAGATGCTGATTTAGATAATCTTGGGCGTATACCAGAAGTGGGACTGCTAGAGCACATGGTATTTCTATTTTTAATTTTTTGAGGAGCCTCCATACTGTTTTCTATAGGGACTGCATCATTTTACAGTCCCACTAACAGTTTATAAGGCTTCCAATTTCTCTACATCCTTGCCAATATTTGTTATCTTTCATTTTTGTTGACGACAGTCATCCTGACATGTATAAGGGGATATCTCATTATGGTTTTAATATGCATTTCCCTAATGATTAGTGATGTTGAACACCTTTTCATATAACTTGGCCATTTCTATGTCTTCTTCTTTGAAGAAGACAGTTTCCTTTGCTGTGCAGAAGTTTTTGTTGTTGTTATTCAATTGTAGTTCCACCTGTTTTTGCTTTTGTTGCTTATGTGTTTGGTGTCACATCCAGGAAGTTGCTGCCTACATCAATGTCATTAAGCTTTTCCCCTGCATCTTCTTCCAGGGGTTTTATGGTTTTAGATATCATATTTAAATATCTAATCCATTTCGAGTTGAGTTTTGGGTACAATGTATAAGAGTTTAATTTTATAATCTTGCATATGGATATCCCGTTTTCCCAACACCATTTATTGATAACTTTTTTGCCCATTGTATACTTTTGACACTCTTGTTGACCTGTGACTTCCAGGATCTCTATTCTGTTCTATTGACGTATATGTCTGTTTTCTCAGGTACCATACTGTTTAAAGTAACTTTCTAAAATACTGTGAAATTAGAATGTGTGATACTTCTGATTGTGTTCTTCTTTTTCAAGATTACTTAGATTATTTCAAAACTTTTTGTGGTTCCATATAAATTTTAGGATTTAAAATAATTTCTGTAACAAATGCCATTTGGGATTTTGAAACACAGTGATTTCTGAATCTGTTTCAATTGTTCTTTTTTTTTTTTCTTTCACACAATGGGTTTTATTTTTCTGCTTTTTCACATGCCTGATAATTTTTTATAGCATGGGACATACTTACACTTTAAAACTTTTTGTTGCTTATCTGAAATTCACATTTAACCAAGCATACTGTATTTTATCTGGCAGCCCAAGGTCCAGAGAACTCTAGCTTCCTTTAATTCTCTGGACTCTCATTTTTGTCTCTTCGCCTTTGCAAATTCTCCAGACTCGACCTGAGCCCTCACTCATTATGTTGAATCCTGGACACACTCAACACCAGTAAGCTGAGGCCACCATGGGGCTCAACTGTTTGTTTCCTGACTCTCAGATTGTTGTTCTTTGTTGTCAGATGCTCATTATCTGAAAACATAACTTTTGGTATAGTTTGTCCTTTTTGGTTGTTTCACACTGGAGAGTAAATCTGGTCTCTGTTACTCTGTCTTTGGTTGAAAGTGGAAGTCTGTATCCAGAAGTTGCTGTTTTTAGCCAGGAACTAGAACATGGCTCTAAAGAGGGCCAAAAATGTATGTTTGATCCCTTCATTTGTTTTATAGTTTTCATGCAATTAAATACTTAAAAAATAATTCTTTGGATCATAAGGGTACCTGGTGATTATGAGGGTTCCTCACTACTGTTGGGAAATTGATTAGAAGTGCACATCTGCTAATAAGGGAATGGGATGGGCCACTGGGGTTATTAACAAGTACAAAGCATAAATTGGCACACTACATTATATTATACTAATTGTCAGGGTTTGAACCAAAACACAGATTTGGCTGGGGGTCAAATCTTGGAGGCCCAAATTGTATTTGGAGTCAAGGCCAGGAAGACAAGTCTGATAGAGTCAGGGTGGTCAAACTGGGGCCGTAGGGGGATTTAGGAAGATGTAAATTCTCTTATTCCTTGTTCAGTATTCAGTGACATTCTTCCTAGGGGACTCGAAATAGAAATAAAAGCATGTCCTCTCTCTTCTCTTTGGTTTCTCTTGGTCTAGCTGTATGCCGTTATCCTCTGGGCATGTCAGGAGGCCAGATTCCAGACGAGGACATCACAGCTTCCAGTCAGTGGTCAGAGTCCACAGCTGCCAAATATGGAAGGTGAGGATGGCTGCTTCAAGACAGCCCATGTTCTGGGGTTGGACAGATTTCCCGGGCACAGATTCCTGACTCAAGGGGCTGGGGAAGGGAAGGTGGTGTCATTGGCAAGAGCTGTTGAGAATGAAGGATAGATAGCAAATGGGTCTGTCCTGCTCTCTATGTTTTTAGGGAGAGAATTCAGGGCTTAGCCACAGGTACTGTCTGGCAGCCCCATCTCAACTACAGAAGCCCCAGGGCCATGTCAACCACAATAAATGAGTTCATTGATAGGAAGTGGATTTGCTTTCCCTGACTTTCTCACTATGAGCTGCTGCAGGAGGCGGACAATGGTGGCAGCTATGGGAGGGTGCGGATTATGTAGGACACTGGGAGTTAGCGTCTACTCCTCTTCTCAGGGGGTCTGTGAAACATCACTCACTGCAAAGCATCAAGGGCTTAACTAGACACTGAGGCCTCCAACAAGTTCTCTCCCTCTCTCAAGGATCTCTCACATGGAAGGGCCATTCTTACCCACAGACAGAGGATGGCAGTTCCCTGGGGTGATTGAATCAGGGGTCTTCTACATCAATAAACTCCCTATTGCTCTACTGGTTGGACCCAACACTCTTTCTGGAATCTAATTATTTTGGTGTGAAGTGTTGATTTTATTAAAATGGAACTACCCAAAAGAAAAGCAATCCTGATGAACCTTCCCCATAATTTCTTAGTGTATCAAAGACTAGAGTGATGGTTGGTGGAATTGAAAGGGAGTGACAAATGAATGGGTGATATCTGTGGGAAAAAGGAACATTCTGGGGGAGAGAAAGTGGTAGGAGGTTCTCAATATGAACTTTATAACAAGTTCACAGTTTTGCTCAGGCTGGAGGTAATAAAATGAAACCAGATGATTTACTACTTCCTTGACGTGCTCTTCCCCCTCATCCTCCCCATGTGTTTCTATGGCTCCTTGCTGGTCTGCAATGCCCATCTGCTGCCTTGCATAACCCACACTGGAGACCCTACTATCTCTCCTCCCTACTGCTATAACTTGATGTCCAAGCAAAGGGTGGCTAGCTTTGTTAGACTGAGTTTGAATGTGGGAAGGGAGATAGGAAATAACTGAGGGGGGATCAGACCTCTAAATCAGGACGGAGAATGAAGGCTACATGTGATCTGAGGGCCTCCAGCTCACTGGTGGGGACTGTCTCTCAGGGTTTCTTGGTACTCCAGGGAAAGGGATCTGACCACAAATGGGTACTATGGTGGCAGTGAAAACTGGCGATAACCCAAAAAGTTTGTAAGAACTGGGCAGTCTGCTCTCTCCCCTCAGTATAGGGCAGCTGCTGGCCTGTGAACCAGTAAACAGCTCTGTGGTTTCATGGTTGCTCCCTCTCTCACCAACCCTCACCTTTCAAGGCTGGACTCAGAAGAAGGGGATGGAGCCTGGTGCCCTGAGATTCCAGTGGAACCTGATGACCTGAAGGAGTTTCTACAGATTGACTTACATACCCTCCATTTTATCACTCTTGTGGGGACCCAGGGGCGCCATGCAGGGGGTCATGGCATTGAGTTTGCCCCCATGTACAAGATCAACTACAGTCGAGATGGCACTCGCTGGATCTCTTGGCGGAATCGTCACGGGAAACAGGTAGGAAGTGGAGACATCCAGACCCTGGGATGTCCAAGACCATGTTTTGACTTAGGCTAGGAGAAGGGTATGGGTTGTCTGTGTGGGTATGTGTGTCCACAGACCAGGCATGCCCTTGTAAATATGTGACCCAGGGTGAGGGATGCAGGGAAGGAATATCAAGCCCATGTGGAAAGAGGAGTAGATGTATTCTGCTCCTTGAATTAAGAAGAGGAAGCCCATCAAAAGGGTGGGGGGGTGAAGAAGAGTGAACATAATTTAATACCACCTCTTTCTCTTCTCTCTCCTCAGGTGCTGGATGGAAATAGTAACCCCTATGACATTTTCCTAAAGGACTTGGAGCCACCTATTGTGGCCAGATTTGTCCGGTTCATTCCAGTCACTGACCACTCCATGAATGTGTGCATGAGGGTGGAGCTTTATGGCTGTGTGTGGCTAGGTAGGTCACTCGCCCAGGAAGCTACAGACCTTATAAAAGACTCCGACTTCTGGGAAATGAAGGCAACCTTATCAGAAAGGGATCAGTTACTCCTGAAACAGTGATTCCCTCTTGGGAAGAGTAGAGACAGAAGCATTGCTCAATATCCCAGTGCTTGGTGCCCCATACCCAGAGTCATGCATTCAGAGTCATTATGCTGACTGCCACTGAGGGGCGCTTCTCCACAGTGCTCCCTGGGTGCCCAGATGGGGTACTGCTGGAAATGCTGTGCAAGCTTGTACCCTTGAAACTCACATAGTTTCCTAAGGTAATGGGCCTGGGTAGTAGGCACTCACTTGGCTGTGTTTCCTTTGCAGATGGCTTGGTGTCATACAATGCTCCAGCTGGGCAGCAGTTTGTACTCCCTGGGGGCTCCATCATTTATCTGAATGATTCTGTCTATGATGGAGCTGTTGGGTACAGGTAAATCCTGGGAAACTTTGATAATCAGAATGGGAAACTGGCCACTAGGAGAGCATAATATTTTATCATGTCTTGGGATCAATAATCAATTAACCAATCAGGATTTAGTCCCTGTACAAGGCATTTGGAGATAATTTAGATGAGGGAATATACACGACCTTTATTTCCAGGGAACTTAAAGCCTAGTTTGGGAAGACAAGTTAATTACCCAGAAAACAATCAATTGCACAAAGCAAGGGCTAGAGTTTGTGATATGGCTCTAAGTATAATAGCAATATTTTTGACCCTCAAAACAGGACATGTGGTTTGACACAAATACTGGCCTACTTATGGAAACAAAGGGCCAGAGAATTGAAGTAATGATACTCTGGGCAGGTCAAAAAATCAGAAAGAATAGACCTTATAAATATAAATGCCTTGAAAATTGTAAAAAGGGGACTAGTAAGGCTTACAATAGACAAGGGAAGTTTCTAGGGCAAGATGAGAATTACAGCAGAGGAAGGTAGGTAGAAGGTAGCAGAAGAAAGGAAGCAGGGCTGAAGGCAAGGCTGGCCTGACTCTAGTAGAAGCTGGAGCTGAGAAGAATGGAATGGAACAATGGATAAGCGTGAAGTGGATCAATGGAGGGCCATGGCGAAGAAGTGTAACCAGATACAGTTGGAACTTAGGGCTGGATAAGGGATGCTCCCACTTATACCATTTCGCTTTAAGACTTCAAGCCTTGCCATTCTTCTATCCCATGCTAACACTTTTCTAAGCTTGGTCTGTATCTGCAAAGTGAGCCTGGGAGAAAAGTCAGACCACAGTGAAGACCAGACCAGAAGATGGAGGTTAACAGGAGTCAAGAGGGGATACTAGTGAGGGTCAGAAAGGGAGTGGGAATTACAGCCTTCCATTGGCTTAGGTGTGGAGGATGAACTATTGCCCTCTAGCTGCCATCCCCTGGGTGAAGGCCTGATTCATCCACTCTTCTACTCCTAGTCACTTCCTTTCCATCTTCTTAGTCACTGTTCTTTCCTGTTTGTTTAAACTGTCTTGGCATACTTTCACTCAGTCACACCCCAACAGGCATGTATTCAAGGCATAGAGGAAATCAGAGATCAATCAAATTCAGTTTAACTTAATAAGCCTTTGTTAATCAACTGTTACTAAATACAAGGAGTTTGACCAGACATGTTAGGTATTCAAAGGTAGTGAAGTCATCGATACTACCTTTAAAGAGCTCACAATTTGGAGTAGGGGCTAAAACAGAATATAAGTTACTATGATTCAAGTGTATGAGCAAGAGATAGCTTATGATTGCTTTGAGATTCAAAGGAAAATGCAGACTGTAGTAGGAAAGCACACAAATGGGGATGAGAACATCTCTGGATTTTCTACAATAAAAGTGACTTCTGTTTGCTGGGATTAAAATGCGTATGAAAAGCATTTCATAAGATAAATTGATGTACACACGTAAGTTGTTATCTGATTAACGTTTTTCTGACTGAAGGACCAGTGAAGGTATGGTAGAACAGATAACTTTGAATTGGGTCCCAAAGAATGGGTAGAATTTTCACAGGTACAGAAACTTGAAATGGAGTTTTAGGCAGAGGGAATAGCATGAGGTAAAACGAATCATGGTTATAAAGTTTAGGGGACTATCTGGGAGAAATCAATGGTTTATTTAACTGTGGACCATATTTATGTGGCAAAGTAGTGCAGGAGAAGCATAACAAAGAGGTTTATGCCATATTTTGAAGGAACCTGAAGTCAAGGCCCAAAGGAGCAAGAAGAAGAGGAAGAGGAAGAAGAGAAGTTGCTATTCTTGTTCTTTATAAACATTATCATTAACGTAATGAGTCACTGAAGATTTCTAAAGCTGGGGAAGGACATGATTTGGAGCTGTGCTTTAGACAGATTAATCAAGCAGCATGCTCAGGTTAGATTTGAATCGAATGAGGAGGTGGTGAGGAACGTTTTAAAACTCTGAGTTCTGTCAAGTAAAAAGAATTAATGACCAAGGCCATAACTGTGACTGTGGGAAATGAGGAAAAGATACTCATTTGGGGAACATTTGCAATCTGATTGGATGTATGGGGCATACAGTAGGGTGTGAAAAAGAGTTAGATGAAGCCTGACAGTCTAAGTGACTAAACAATGGGGCTGACGTTTATTCATTCAACAAATATATTTTGAGTGCTGAGTATGCCCCAAGCACTTTCAGTTACTATGAAAGAGAAGTGTAATTTATAGAAAAGGGAAACCAACCTGAAAGATTTAGTTAATAGGGGATAATGATGGATTTAGTTTGGGGTATAAGTCTATGAGACTGACAAGACTTTCAGTAGAGAAATAAGGAAGGTAGCTGGAATTGCAGTTTTGAACTTCAGGGGAAAGATTTTTAAAAATCACAAAAATTTAGACATAAATGGCTTTCATTTAATAATTGAGGTAATAAAGTATCTGGTGGAGGTGGCTGAGTGAAGAGATCCTCTCAGCCACTGTGAGATGACATTCATCAGAGTCTCAGGAAATAGTTATATTACCAAAGGTTACTGTTTTGTTTTAAAAAATTCAAGAGTAATATATGCCTACTAGTGATTTAAATAACTCTAAGGTATACAAACACGGAAAATTTCTTTTCTTATTCCTTCTCCACTTGATTTAATTTTGGCCAAGGGGAAACTGAACAGGCATTTCTTTTAATTTGTGTTGCTTTTCATAAGACTTTCATGGGATTTATTTTTCTGGGGGATAATTGGAAATATATTTATTGCAAGTAAACTTATATTCTCCTAGCTTTCTGATCTGTAGAGAGAAGAAAAAGATGGCAAAACCTTGGAAGGGAGATCCAGGCTCTGGTCACTGTGGATAAGGCCAGTCAAATTTTATAATTTACCAAACATTTTTTAATGAATAAATATATTTTAAAAGGCTGGCATAATCACTCTTAGTGTTTTTTATTTTTTATTTTTGCAATTCACAAATTTTACATATTATTGATCTGGCTATAAACCTCAAGGGTCACACCCATTATAGCTTGAGGGTGAGTATCCCAATCTCTTTATTTGGGAGATTTGTGTGACATCTGCCGAAGCTCAAGATGCAGAGCTTGAGGAAAGAGAAGTTCCACATGATGGAGTCTTGCTCTGTCCCTCCATAAAAAGAAGGAAGGAGCCTCTTTGTGTCCTCCAAATAGTCAAATAAGTATAAATGCAGTTATATTCCATCCGTCAGTCAGTCTTCTGGCAAACTCAACCTTTAAAACAGAACCTTTTACTCAGAAGTCAAAAAAGGCTGCTAAGCTAGAACGCAAAACTAAATCTGATACCTGGGATTCTCACGAAATCCATACATCTTACTTCCTGGGTATAGTATCCTACAAATTTAACTAAAAATAAATAGAAATTATGATTTAAGCTTAGAGATTATGTTTTCCCCCCTGTAGTTTAATATCAAATTGGGTTGCTGGATATGTAGAATAGAAGAGAGTGTGACTGGCTTCTCTGAAATTGATTCACTGAACAATGACAAGATGTAGTTAAAAGAGAGTCAGCACTAAGGTCTGGAAACATGTATTTGATAATGGGGCGAGTGGTACTATGTATGGTAGTATTCATTCTATGCATTTATCCATTTCAACATTTACTCAATGAATTAATTCATCAAATGCATTTGATAATATTGAGTCATTATGTGAAGACATATCTGGTATGTAAGAATAGGCAAGGTGCAATAGATTATAGAAAGCTTTTCATATTAAATGATAAGATGTTGTTTAAAAGTTTTACTACTAAAGGGGTAAGCATCAAATATTTTATAAAAATTACTAATATGAAATTCTTAATTCTCCATTGATGTAAGATAAACTAGTCAGTACTATTATACAAATTTGGTTATTTATAATCCTTCAGTTCCAAGATAATAAACTCTTACAAAATCTGGAGTAAAGATGCTGGGTAAAAGTTCTTCCATGAATGTGTGATTAACTCAGATTTCTCTCTCCTTTCCCCACCCTTCTCCTGGCCTGAGCAGCATGACAGAAGGGCTAGGCCAGTTGACAGATGGTGTGTCTGGCTTGGATGATTTCACCCAGACCCATGAATACCACGTGTGGCCTGGCTATGACTATGTGGGCTGGCGGAACGAGAGTGCCACCAATGGCTACATTGAGATCATGTTTGAATTTGACCGCATCAGGAATTTCACTACCATGAAGGTCAGTGGAGTCGGGTGTGGTAGAATTCTTTAAGGAGGCACACATCATAGTGTTGCAGAGAAAAGGCATGCTGAAAAGAAGCCTAGGCTGATGCCACTTCAATGACATATTCTGTTACTAACTAGCTAAATGCATTTCACAAGTCACTTCTCTAAGGGTGTGATTCTTCATTTGTGTGTAAGGGAGTTAGGTCAGTGAGCTCTCATTTTTTTGTTGTTGTTGTTCTAACACTAAAGGTGACATATTCATTAGGTACAATAACACAGTGTCCAGGGCCCACAGATTTTTAAGGCCCCTAAAAATGCTTTAATTTCTTTTAATAATGTCAGGTGAAAAAAATTAATTTTTAGGTTAAAGATTATATTTATCTTTTTACCAGTGCAGTTGTGTGTGTTTATATGTGTGTGTGTGTGTATATATATATATACACACATATATGTGGAGTAAAGATGCTGGGTTAAAGCTCTTCCATGAATGTGTGATTAACTCAGATATATATGTGTCACACACACATTTTTTTTTCTAACAAAAAAAGATGAAATTGTTTTGGATCGTGTATTATTTCAGGTCTCTCACCTAGCCCTGTTGAAAAGAAGTAGACTGGCTCTAAAATGTACCTAGGAGGAATTAGGATGGCAGTCTTCCTCTTACCTTAGTTCAGAATAGCTCTAATCAGGGTAGACAGCAACTGTGATTGAGAAGATCATAGACTGGAGAGAGTTCAAGGCAAGGAAGGGCCTGAGAAGAGGCTGCAGTCCTTCTCATTTAACAGATGAGGAAACTGCAGTCCAGCAACATGAAGTGAGGTGGCGAAGGGCAGACAGTGCATACAGGTAACAAGGGTTGTGGCCCAGGTTCTATGAGGCCTGACCAACTATCACTGCCACTGTGAGGTTCGTAGAAGGAAAAATCCAGAAGACTGCAGAACACCAACTATTGACCAAGAGTGGTGCTCACAGAAACAGCAGGTCTTGACTCTTACTGAGTTGGCTGGCACTGTGTCCCTGTGCAGCTTAGTAGGGCCAACCTATCACTCACATGCCTCTCTCTCTACCAGGTCCACTGCAACAACATGTTTGCTAAAGGTGTGAAGATCTTTAAGGAGGTACAGTGCTACTTCCGCTCTGATGCCAGTGAGTGGGAACCTAATGCCATTTCCTTCCCCCTTGTCCTGGATGACGTCAACCCCAGCGCTCGGTTTGTCACAGTGCCTCTCCACCACCGAATGGCCAGTGCCATCAAGTGCCAATACCATTTTGCTGATACCTGGATGATGTTCAGTGAGATCACCTTCCAATCAGGTAGGGAGCTCAGGTCCCCTTTGGGAAGTGGGAGCAAGGTGATGAAGGAGGAAGGCACATACCCAGAACATCTCATTAGCAGGTCTCTGAGAGGAGTGGAATTGTACAGGTGGCTTCTCATTGCTGGATACAGTGAATCCTTTGTGTGGTTAGTTTTACTTGTGGAAAGGTAGGGATGAGAATGGAAGTGCACAAATATTCATGTAACTCTTCTTAGAAAGTATTTTTTTTAAAAAGTATAGTACTATTTTTTCAAGAAATCTTGATTCCGTTTTGTAGGAAATGGTATTTTGATACTACAAACTGGACAACAGGGATGCCCATTGCTAATAGGTTGTCATTGTTTCTTGGATTTTTTGGTGGAAGAAAGCAATGAAGTGAACAAAATATTCATGTAACTTCATTATAAACTCATTGATTTTTGTAAATTTAATGTTTACTTGATTGCAGCTCTTCTTCTCCTCCTCCTCCTCTTCCTCCTCCTCTTCTTCTTCTTCTTCCTCTTCTTCTTCTTCTTTTTTATTTTTGAGACAGAGTCTCACTCTCTTTCCCAGGCTGGAGTGCAGTGGTGCAGTCTCGGCTCACTGCAACCCTGCCTTCTGGGTTCAAGTGATTCTCCTGCCTCAGCCTCCCAAGTAGCTGGGATTACAGGTGCCTGTTACTGCACCTGGCTAATTTTTCTATTTTTAGTAAAGTCAGGGTTTCGCCATGTTGGCCAGATTGGTCTCCAGCTTTTAACTTGAAGTGATCCACCTGTCTTGGCCTCCCAAAGTGTTAGGATTACAGGCATGAGCCACCAAGCCCAGCTATTATTCTTTTGAATACTCAAGTTGTGCTGTCTTTGACTAGAGTTTGCATTTTTAAAGGGGCTCTTTGCTCTTTGAATCTGACCCTAGAAGCCTTTGATAACTTCTTGTTTTCTGAAAGAACAAGGTATTTCAAGCTGATTTTGAACATGTACTGCCCCCAACATGGAATCAACCAGTTCTTCGAGAACTTGTGATTCCTTTTAGTAGTGAATGGTATTTAGATACCATAAACTGGGCAATAGGAATGCTCATTGCCAATAGGTTGTCATTGTTTCTTGGATTTTTCAGTGGGAGAAAGCAATGAAATATGTATTTTTTAAAAATAAAAAGATTATGAGTTCACCTTGTTACTTCCAATTCAAATTAAAGATAAGGTTTTCATTTAAATTTGATTTTATACTTTCATCTCTATTATTTATGCTAAATATCATGTTTTCTAACAATGTTAGCAGCATTTTCTTCATCTTACTATTCAAAAAGCAATACCAATATTATTACTAACAACATAACTATTGAGCATTAAGATGTCTTTGCAATTCTCTTTTCTTTGTCCTGAGAACGTATCCTACTAAGAATGTGTAGTCAAAGTACTATGTTCTAAGGTCAGTTGAGTCACAGTAGGACAATTCTTTTCTGTATATAGTTATGTCACCAATGTGATAGACAGTTAGGTTCATTGTATTCTGATTATTTCAGCTTTTAAGTATTCATTTTAAACTCTAAACACTACTTTTGATTGAACAGTAACAGTAGCAAATAGTGATTTAAATTCCTGGAGCCAGAAACTGCAAAATCTTGAAAAGTTAAAAGGCGTTTAGAATATTGTTCATACCATTAAATTTTAGATGGGGAGACAAAAGATACACAATGCTTTAAAAAAAAAAGTCCAAAGTAATATGAACAATAAAGGCTCAGAAGGTGAAAGGGCACTAGAGTGGGTCTGTCATAGAGAGCATCAAAGAAACGAGACTTGTACTGGGCCTGGAAGAAGAGTCCAGATGTAAAATAACATTAGAGAGATGAAGAGACTAATTTAAAGATAAACCACACTTTGGGAGGCCAAGGTGGGAGGACTGCTTGTACTCAAGAGTTTGAGACTAGCCTGGGCAACATGGAGAAACCCTGTCTCCACAACAATCACAAAAATTAGATGGGCATGGTGGCATATGCCTATAGTCCCAGCTAGAGAGGCTGAGGCAGGAGAATCACCTGAGCTCCAGAGGCAGAGCTTGCAGTGGGTCAAAATTGCACCACTGCACTCCAGCCTGGGTGACCGAGTGAGACTCTGTTAAAACAACAAAACAACAACAACACCAGATAAACCGAAAGAACCCATCGTTTCAGATTTGATTCTTAAAGGAAGAAAATTTCAGGATAGTTTTCTTATTAAGATGTACTGATAAGAAAATAGAGGATATTTTTAGGGAAACAGGTTTGGTGTTTAAATGCCTCTGTGCTAAGGATTTCCTCTCAGAGTAAATGGATTGATTATTTTATCTGAGTATTTACTGGGAGTAGAAATCAAGATGTTCAAAGTCAGTGCCACTTATACTGTAAGTGTTAACTGGGGGACAAATAGATTCCCACCCATCCTCAGGAATTCTCCTGGCAGAGTAATTGGTATACTTATTATAGCTAATTATAGCTATGAACCATGGTTTTTGACTCCTGGGGTCCCTTGAGCTTTAAATCCAATGTCTTCATAATGTTAGTTTTCACTGGAGCCTGACAACCAAGCTCAGAAAGCACATGCAGATGCCAGATACCTCCTTATTTATATAATAATATTAAGAAGAAAAATTAGGATACCGGGAAGGAATGTCTTTTAGAAAGGAAATACATATTCTAATTCTTGACCCCCTTGATTAGATAAATCAGAGGAAATAATTCTTGCAAAGCTGCCAACATCAGTCTGGCAAATACACTTTTGTGGTTTAGTCTCAGAAGCTGCAAAATCACAATAAAGGACATTCCAATGTCAGTAAATATCGACAGAGGTGAAGCCTTAATTCATAAATTGGAGGGCTAGGCCAATGAAGCAGAGTGGAGACTCTTCTATAAACAACCTAATTTCCCCGAAGGGAAAAGCATCTTAACACTGCCTGTCCCTTGCCCACTTACCCACTATGTTCTCTCTATATTTTTGCTGAATTTGGGTCCTGCTTCTTATGCTTTATGATAATGTGTGGTTACAGCCCTTTGAATTGCTGTTTCTTAGACCTTTTGTACCATAGCACCTAGTATGTAATAAGTGAAACAAAAATTTTGTAAAGAAAAACTTGCCCTTACTATTTAGATGAATGGTGATATTTTTATTTAATGTATTTATTATTTTATTTTTTCAAAGGCTGATGGCAACCCACTAAACTGATCTCTCGATGTGCTAGGTCATAATATGCCTCCAGAGAAAACACTAGCTATCTGTCTTCTCCCCGGCTCTGACTCATCCTTGTTTTATAACAGATGCTGCAATGTACAACAACTCTGGAGCCCTACCCACTTCTCCTATGGCACCCACAACCTATGGTATGTGTGATTCCTAAATTATACAAATTAAGTTGAAGGGACTTCCTGGAGGATGAAGAAGGGTGGAGATTTGCAAAGCCCTGGCTATGTGAGAGGCTTTACACCAGGTGGCTTTGGATGAAGAGTAGCCCTGGAAAGGTAGGACTGTCTACCTCCAAGATATGGAGCCAAACATATTGTCTCCACTACTGATTCATGTGCTTCTTTGATTGAGGCACAGTCTGGAGTTGTCCCAATTTCTCCATGAAAGACTGGGAATTTGGGGTCAGAAACAGGGAAAGGGACATTCCTATGTGAGACCCATAGTGGGGATTTCTAAGAATGGGTGGAAGTCTAAGAAACAAAATGCTTGTCTCTCTAATTGGAGATAAATATGCCATGTATGCATTGCTTTAGGCATATGTTGGTGATACCAGCCGGCAATGTGGGAAGCATGTGATTGAATGTGTCCAAAGAGGACTTTCAGCTACCTTGGCATGTCTCAGAGAATGCAGAGGGTGAAACTGGTTCCTCACCTGTTTTACATGAGGTGTGATTAAGGGACTGTAGACTCAGGCCATAATAATATAGTGACACATTTTGGGAAGAATAGAAAAACTCACCATTATCCTGTCTGACATGGGGAGTGGGAGGCCACTGTCTTATGGAAGAGGGAAGTAGGATATAGGAACAAAGTAATAAAACAGGCCAGGCATGGTGGCTCACACCTGTAATCCCAGTACTTTGGGAGGTAGAGGCAGGCAGATCACAAGGTCAGGAATTCGAGACCAGCCTGGCCAACATGGTGAAACCCCATCTCTACTAAAAATACAAAAATTAACCGAGTGTGGTGGTGCATGCCTGTAATCCCAGCTACTCGGGAGGCTGAGGCAGGAGAATCACTTGAACCTGGGAGGCAGAGGTTGCAGTGAGCCAAGATCATGCCATTGAACTCCAGCCTGGGCAACAAGAGCAAAACTCTGTCTCAAGAAAAAAAAAAGAAATTAAACCGTAGCAAGAGCAAGAATAAGCAGAAGTAGTAAGGTGGCATCTTCTAGAATTATCCTCAAAGAACAGAGTCTACCTCCATGTTTTCAATCCAGTCCCTCATACTCTTGCTTGACCTGTGGGATGATTGTATTCTCTGCTTTCTTTCCTGGTTACAGATCCAATGCTTAAAGTTGATGACAGCAACACTAGGATCCTGATTGGCTGCTTGGTGGCCATCATCTTCATCCTCCTGGCCATCATTGTCATCATACTCTGGAGGCAGTTCTGGCAGAAAATGCTGGAGAAGGTGAGGAGGTACAGAATGGGCAGATACAAGAATCTGCTCCTTTTATTCTCGAGCCACTGTTGTCCCAGGAGTAAAAGGCAAATTGCAAAAATGTATTAGTGGTTAGAGCTAACTGAGGCTACCGAGAAACGTAGGAATGGAGCCAGAAAAAGAATCGCTAAGTCTGTTTTCTCATTTTTAGAGTGGAGATGTTGGAGCCTTCCTCAGGAATGCAGAAAACTCCTTTTAATACATTTAATCTCAGCTCAGGCATTTTCCTTCAAATTCTGATTCCCTGAATTTTGGGTGGAGTCCAGGCATCCATATAGTTTTTTAAAAAAATTAACAAGTGCTTCTGATACACATCCAAGGTTAAGAATCACTCTCCTAATGCCAAGGTGAAATTTCTGATCATGCTGTTGAAGTTCCTTCTCTTCTTTTTCAGTTTGCTTGTCTGTTTTGTGTGTGTGTGTGTGTTTGTGTGTGTGTGCACGTGTTTGCGTATGTGTTTGTGTGTGTGTGTGTAGAAAAACATCCAGCTTTATTAATATTCAAGCCAAGTTTCTCACTATTCTAATTTCCACTTTTGTGTACTTGAAGGTTATGATTATGTATCTCTCTGAGTCCCTCTTCAGACTCTTTCTCTCTCTCTAGGCCAAATGATCTGAATAACTTTTTACATTGTCTAATGCTTTACATGAGGCAGACTTTTTCCTCATGTACAATCTTATATACACCTCATTGAGTAATAACTCATGGGCATTGATATATTTAACCCTTTTTCTGATGAGAAAATGTGATGTGCTCAAGGTCATACAACTGGTATCCAGTCTTCTATGTGTTTTCCAATTGTTAATATTGAAATGCCTTGATTTCCTTCTTCAAGAGGTCATACAACTAGTATCCAGTCTTCTATGTGTTTTCCAATTGTTAATATTGAAATGCCTTGATTTCCTTCTTCAAGACTATATTCATTTCATCGAAGATGGAATATCTATGACTTGTTTGGCTTCTTGGACCAAATAGCAACTCACTGTTTCTTAGTGTCTGATTCTCTTGGGATCTGCTGCTGAGTAAATGTTTCTACCTTTGGTCATGGTCACCTATCCTGGTCAATGAGTTCCTCTCAATAGACATGGACTAGGAGAGGTCACAGAAACTCTGAGCTGTGAGGCTTTGAACTGCCTCCTAGGGCAGGGAACAGGAAGGAGGAGAAATCCTGACTGATTTCTGTGTTTGGGGCTGAGGTCTCTGAGGAGATCAATTCCTGTGTGGAGCCTCTATTCCAGAGGAGAGGAAAGGGCACCTTGAGAATGGACTTGAGTCTCCAGAGCTTTCTAGATGTAGGATGGCAGAAAAATGGCTCAAATCAGAGGTGAGGAGGAGCAATCCTGTTGAGTAGCCTGCAATTCCTTCTTACCTGTGTCATACTCGGGTTTTGAGATGGCTGATATTTGTTTTAAGGTTTTCAGGCAGGAATATTTCATGGAAGAGAAGTTCTCCTTGCTTCCCACAAGTATGTTTCCCAGTCTGAAAACATTAAAGCTTTCAATTCTCAAATAGCAACAGAAGACTGAAAGACAAATTCCACAGAGACTCACTCACTGTCACGAGCATGTCTCAAGGCATGAATGAGGCAAATATCAAAACTTTTCCTCCTTTAGAATGCTGGAACACACCAGTGCCAAATACCTGAGCAGAGGCATTCTGGAGTGAGGGTGGTGGTGAACTGAAGGTTCAGCTTGAAGAGGATGGATATGTGACCATCTTCAATAGTCTGTTAGGACCACATTTTAGCCGAAGGAGGAGGGTCTGTGTTCTCTACTCTATGAGCTCTTTTTCTCTTTATGTGAGCCAAAATTTGCCACACTTCTCTGAGTCTTTATTCTGAGGCCTGTTGGAATATCTTCTTGTGCTATAAGAGAAATGTTGGAATCTCCAGATAATAGGTAAAGCAAAGATTTTGCCCTTGAATATTTAACTTGGTCCTCTAAGAAATTCTATCCCTGTAGATCCTGAGTAAGATGACTCAAAGTACTCTGGAATAGCACTCAAGATTTCTTCCTGGGGACAGAATTTTATGTGGAAAATCATTAAGTACACATATACATTCGAAGAACATTACTTAACATAGCTGTAGACTGTCGCATTATTTGTAGGATAATTTTGATGGTGTCCTCAACATTCCTTCTCCGAGTGATTCAACCCACATATATTGAGTATCTACTATGTTCTGAGCTTCTTGCTTAGTACTGGGGTTATTATTGCAACAGAGGACCTGTGAGTATAGTGGAAAAGTGCACATCTAAGGTTCGTTGTTGAGCACCCAAGCTGTGTTTGTTGAAGTGGAGCATTTGTTTAAATTCAAATAGTCACATACATGCAGATGCTGGCATTTTCCTTTTGACGGAGCAGGCAGGCTATATTAGATAAGATACCACAGGATTAGTTGTTTTGTTGTTCTCCTTCCTTTATTAGGTGCAAGTCACCTTGTTACCGCTCTCTGGACACCTAGGGCTTTCCTGGTTACAGATCCAATGCTTAAAGTTGATTGGAACTGATTCCAGATCCAATCAACTTTAAGCATTGGATCTGTAACAAGGAAAGAAGGCAGAGAATACAGTCATCCCACAGGTCAAGTAAGAGTATGAGGGACTGGATTGAAAACATGGAGGTAGACTGTCCCATATTGTAACCATTTTACTTTTGGTTAATGAAAATATGGGTTGGTGGTGGGTACTATCCTTATCTGCAGTGTAAAAATGATTAGATAGAACTATTGGTTCATCATGTTACCGCACATTTATTAAGTTAATAAACAATTTATGTCTATTCCAAAACCAAGCAGTTAAAGGGTAAGCCAGCAAAATCCATCATTTAATAAAACATAGAAAACTCTTTAAGATTGAGATCATTGGTTACTGAGCGGTTCTTATGGCATTATGAAGATAATGCTTTTTAAAAAATGTTTCAGAAAGCACATCATAGAAATTAGAAGATCAAATTCTACCTTGAAGAAATGAAGGATTATCCTAAGTTTCTATAACACAGGCATTTGTGAAACCAGACTGCATCCCTAGCATGTGCAGGGCTGCTGAGGGGCTGGGGTTAAACAGTAGTAAAGGGTTATTTCACTTGAGTGGAAGAGCTGAGTTTAAGAAGAGGAGGAATTGATCATCTCTTTTGTGCCAACACACCTTTCTCCTTGTTCTTCTCTTCCAGGCTTCTCGGAGGATGCTGGATGATGAAATGACAGTGAGCCTTTCCTTGCCAAGTGATTCCAGCATGTTCAACAATAACCGCTCCTCATCACCTAGTGAACAAGAGTCCAACTCGACTTATGATCGCATCTTTCCCCTTCGTCCTGACTACCAGGAGCCATCCAGGCTGATACGAAAGCTCCCAGAATTTGCTCCAGGGGAGGAGGAGTCAGGTGAGGACGATGTGATGGGCGGGAGGCCGAGGGAGAAACCTTGACAAGCATCAGGTAAGTATGACAGTCTGCTCCCAGTTAACTGCACCTATTTTTAGTCTCTGCTAACCTCCTGAGAAGTCGACATTCTCTTTCTAGATTTGGTCTTCTGCTGCATTTGGCCTAATTTGAGAATTTCTCCTTTGCTACTGAACATAAGATGCATGGAGGGACCCACATACCAGAAAAGAAAGAAAAAAATGAAACACGTTAATTAAGTGTTAACACCAGCAGAACCTAAACGGTCCAACCGGTCTAACCTCATTTTACATGTCGGGAAAGTGAGAAGGCCCAGACAGAGTATTCATCCAACACCAGATTTTATTAGTGGGTAAAGGCAGGACTGGATTTTCCCCTGGAGAAGTACATAAAGAAAGCTAAAGACATTCTGAAATTCCCAGTGCTATAGTCATTTAAATAACTAAAATGAATAACTACTTACCTGCTTTTGTTAATTTCTCTTTGGTAAACATTTACTAGAGAAATATGAGACTATTATGAGAGTAAAATATTTCTTGCCCTTTCTCAATAAAAGCATGAAATGAAGCAATAAAAGGTAAAATAGTAAGTAGTTTCAGTAGATCCAAATTTCAGTGTCTTTTGAAAAATGTTGCAGAGTGATGTCAGAAGGGAAGCTGGAGTGACCTCTTAAGCTCAGAGCTGCTTTTCTATAAGTCATCAACCTGAGGGACCCAAGTCAGTAGAAAAGAACTTGTGGTGTTCAGGAGAGAGGCGCCATGTCTGAGCTGGTTGTGGAAGCAGAGAGGACTAAATACAAGAGCACAGGATTTTACAGGAAGGAGCCTGAAGGGGTCTTCTCAAAGGATAAAAGGAAACTTATATCTCTTTTATCATTCAATGGAGAGCAGACATGAAAGAACATGCTAAAACTCAAGTCATTTCACAGAGACAGCAAGAATAAAGGATATAAACTAATTAATTTTTTTAGGGTGAATAGAAATAATTTACCTATTTCCTAAATCTAAAACATCCCTCACCTCATATTTTAATTTTTTTCCCTAAGTTAGACTGTGTCTGAAAGTAGATCATATGTCTTTAATCTGAAAGTTTTCTGATACCTAAAATCAATTTTAAGTCAATAAGTGTCTTAAAATTAAGGAAATAAGTGATGAAACCTTCAACATTTAGTATTCCCACCCTGATATACCGTGAGCCTTCCTGCAGTTGACTGCACAATTCCACAAGTTTAGCCACAGAATTTGTTAATGATCATGTATTATGAGGAAAAGAAGGAGACGTAAAATGGTGTCCTACATTCTGAAGGCCAGAAGAAAATCTCTAGAGGAAGCAAAACATTTTCCAAGTAAGAATGTCATGAAGCAGGCTGGGCTTTCGCAGGGGCATGTTTTAGCCCTCCTCTCGAATTTCTTCCTTGAAGGGATCTCCACAGGTGCTCTGTGGAATGAGGCTGGTTACCGTGTCTTTCCAGGCTGCAGCGGCGTTGTGAAGCCAGTCCAGCCCAGTGGCCCTGAGGGGGTGCCCCACTACGCAGAGGCTGACATAGTGAACCTCCAGGGAGTGACAGGAGGCAACACATACTCAGTGCCTGCCGTCACCATGGACCTGCTCTCAGGAAAAGATGTGGCTGTGGAGGAATTCCCCAGGAAACTCTTAACTTTCAAAGAGAAGCTGGGAGAAGGCCAGTTTGGGGAGGTGAGTTGATTATTTGAGTGGGGCCTCCAGTCCCTTATAGCTCACAGGAAGTGGTTGGATAAAAATGGTCAGTAGAGGCCGGGCGCGGTGGCTCACGCCTGTAATCCCAGCACTTTGGGAGGCCGAGGCGGGTGGATCATGAGGTCAAGAGATCAAGACCATCCTGGTCAACGAGGTGAAACCCCGTCTCTACTAAAAATACAAAAATTAGCTGGGCATGGTGGCGCGTGCCTGTAATCCCAGCTACTCGGGAGGGTGAGGCAGGAGAATTGCCTGAACCCAGAAGGCAGAGGTTGCAGTGAGCCGAGATCGCGCCATTGCACTCCAGCCTGGGTAACAACAGCGAAACTCCGTCTCAAAAAAAAAAAAAAAAAAAAGAATGGTCACTAGAACAAAGAGTCCTTTCCAGAAGTGGGTTCACAACAGAATGCCTCTTCCACTTGTCTCTCCTTGTGTTGTCCTCTGGATTCTAGTATTGGGTCAACCTCATCTTTGTCAAATACCTGTAGAGTTCCTGGGATTTCTGATTTCTATCCAGGAGTTTTTAAGGCAGGCAAGTCTCTAGACTTCAGATATCTTGAAAAACATTCAATATTTTCCAAAATGTTTACAATAGATTATGGAGGGTGGGGCCCACAAGATGTGATCATCTTTTATGAATCGTCCAGGAACATCCGCTGCTCAATAGCCACTTTGTTTTTTTCCCCTTTAATGGAAGTTACATGTAAAATGGTGAAAAACAACCTCGCCCCTGCTTTTGGTCCCAGAATCAGCCGCTAGGGAATGAATCACCAAGATAAGGAGGAGTACTCTTTTCAGTTGCCCTCAGAGTGATGCATGCATTATTAAACTTTTCACTCTTGCATCAGTTATATGAACCTTCTGGGAGCTCAAAGCAATGTTTTGAGTTGTAATAGGAACTCTTCACCACTGCCATCTAAACTCCAAATAGAACACTTGGTTTTCTAAGATGTGTTATTGGTTTTCAGTGTGGATCTCATGTTCTCTCCTTGGATAGGTCTGGTGTTGGAGGAGGTGGAGGGGCCCATGTTATCTGTTCATGGTGTTACATGTACTCATTTTGTCCCCTGGATAGAAAACCCACATCTGTTATACTGTTAATAATACACAGGAGTTGCTTATAATGCTAAACCCCATACTAAGGGATTACTTTAGGAATTTGCCTTATGTTTTACATAATCCAGTGATGAATGAATCAAAATTCAAGCATTTGTAATAAAAGACATTTTATAGTGGGCTATGCTGTTATATAATATTGTTATTGATTCATTCTTTCACTTAATGTTCCAATCAATGTATATTTCTAAGTCAGGAAAGTAGCATATTAGCTGGGTACTTTACCATTGTTTTTAATCTTATCAATTATTTGAATCACAGATAGGTTACACATATCTTCTTATTGGTCTTTTGATCATTTTGCCTGAGTTGTAAGAGTTAGTTTATCTCCAGGAAATGCCCAGCAAGAGTACTGAGACATCTTCAGGAGAAATGATGATGCTGAGACTAGATGACTTTTGTCTAGGTTCATCTCTGTGAAGTGGAGGGAATGGAAAAGTTCAAAGACAAAGATTTTGCCCTAGATGTCAGTGTCAACCAGCCTGTCCTGGTGGCCGTGAAAATGCTCCGAGCAGATGCCAACAAGAACGCCAGGTCTGTGGTCTACATTTTGAATTTTCTTTTATGCATTTAATCTTTAGGGCCAGGAATACTCCCGGATACTTCTGAGCAATTTTCAGTGAGCTGCCTCAGCTTTCCACTGTTATCCTTTTTCTTATTCTGATGGGCTCAGCGGTTCTCATCTTTTTCTCCATTTCTCTCAAACACAAAGGTACATTTTCTGTGGTACTTGCCACATATTTACTTCCTAATCTCCTGTGCACAAGCGCTGTACTTCTCAACATACACAGCTGTCTAGATGTGTACATCCTCAGTCTTTACACACAGACGCACTCCTGCATGTCATTACCTCCTCTTGACAAAGTTTTCACAATCACACATGTTGTTCTTGCTAGGCTTCTTCCATTCTCCTTTTTTCACATTTCTATTTATTTTCTCATCCCCCTTTTCTCTTTTATGCTCCTTTTCTTCTATGTCCAGCAACCCTCAAAATGAGAAGCTACCTCTATTTGGAAAATTATCTATGAATCTCAGAGCAAAAGGAATCCACGATTCTCTAGCAGTTTTCCAAACTGGCTAATAATCTCTTGGATCTTTTTCTACATAAATTGCAGTTTCCAGCCACACTCCATTTGTCTGACAGCCTTTCCATTACAATAATGGTGAGTTAATCCTCACCCAGAGAGGCATGCTGGTTGAAAGCTGGCTGTATGTGTCCCAGAGAAATCTCCACACCTGGATAACATATGCATTTTCCCATTTGTGTTGTCTTGATTTGTCTCACTGATATTCATAGTGAGGAAAGCTTAATATTCTCCAAATTATCATAAATTCCAAGAATGGTGATAGACTTCATTAAAAGTCTTGCAATAGGCCGGGCGCGGTGGCTTACGCCTGTAATCCCAGCACTTTGGGAGGCCGAGGCAGGTGGATCACAAGGCAACATGGCGAAACCCCGTCTCTACTAAAAATACAAAAAATTAGCTGGGCACGGTGACACGTGCCTGTAATCCCAGCTACTCAGGAGGCTGAGGCAGGAGAATTGCCTGAACTCAGGAGGCAGAGGTTGCGGTGAGCCGAGATCGCACCATTGCACTCCAGCCTGGGTAACAAGAGCGAAACTCCGTCTCAAAATAAATAAATAAATAAAAGTCTTGCAATAGATAGGATGTAGGATAAAGAAGAGAGAAAGGCGAGGAAATGAAACGGTGGAGGAGGCTTTAGAAATTTAACTGAGCATTTCAATCTTTAAGATACTGGTAAAAATAAAAAACAACATTCCGGGATCTCATAGAGAGATGAAATATTTCTTATATTAATCTTAACACATGATTGGAGAAAGTGGCACGAGGGAACAAAACCACAGGACACAGGATATGACAAAGCCTTTCTCCGTTGTTCTGATCAGTGAAGTTTGCCATTCCTCCCACCTGTGTCCTTAGCAGTGATGGCTGGACATGACTGTGGACCCTTCCAAGCCATGGAAACTCCTGGTTTGGGACAGAAGGAGGAATGAAAGAGGGAGGTATTGCATTATGACTTCATCGATATCAGTGATTTATATTGACATAGCACGGCTTTCAGTCCAGGATTCCTAGAAAACCCTTGGAGGACTTAAACTGATCTGCTCCAGTAGTTTTCGGAATATGGGCTAGAGACCTCACCAACCCAAATATTGCTACTTTATGACCCAAGGGTGTCTGTAACCATGTACTCAATTATTAGTCTTGGTCAAGTGAATACTTCTTTTGACGTGACTTCACCATGTCCTCAATTATTAGTCTTGGTCAAGTGAATACTTCTTTTGACGTGACTTTACCACTACAGCATTTTTTTTTTTTTTTTTTGGTAAGACAGAGTTTCGCTCTTGTTACCCAGGCTAGAGTGCAATGGTGCCATCTCGGCTCACCGCAACCTCCGCCTCCCGGGTTCAGGCAATTCTCCTGCCTCAGCCTCCAGAGTAGCTGGGATTACAGGCACGCACCACCATGCCCAGCTAATTTTTTGTATTTTTAGTAGAGACGGGGTTTCACCATGTTGACCAGGATGGTCTCGATCTCTTGACCTCATGATCCACCCGCCTCGGCCTCCCAAAGTGCTGGGATTACAGGCGTGAGCCACTGCGCCCGGCCCACTACAGCCCTTAAACAGCTCTGTTTTGGACAGGCTACTAAATACATGTTGCAACTTACTGATGGTTCATACTGCATTAAGAAAAGTCAGTAGGGGAATATAAAGAGTCATCAGAGAAGCCAAAGCATGGTTGTTTACATCACACCAAGTTTCTTCACTTTAGCAACAGAGTGACTCCATGGCTTTTAAAAAAGGTAAATATCCTCATGCACTTACGCTGCAATTTTCAGTGAAACGTTTTACTTTGCTGAATAGTTTTTAGCAGCCTATTTTAATCACTTTCCGTGTGGCAGGGATTTTGTTAGATACGAGGGATAACAATGTGAAGAGGTCACGGGTCTTGTTCTCAAAACCATTACAGTTGAATGAGGGTCCAGGTGTCAGCTTCTCTGTCCTCCCAAAAGTTATCCAAAGGGAAAGGAGATTTGGTGTAATGTCTAGGAATAGACCTTGGTGTGCATTCTTCTCCCTTTTGATTCTGACTCGGGCAACTTCTGAGTTTGTCTTTGTCTGTGTCCTCCCAAGGAATGATTTTCTTAAGGAGATAAAGATCATGTCCCGACTCAAGGACCCCAACATCATCCATCTCTTAGCTGTGTGTATCACTGATGATCCTCTCTGCATGATCACTGAATACATGGAGAATGGAGATCTCAATCAGTTTCTATCCCGCCACGAGCCCCCTAATTCTTCCTCCAGCAATGTACCCACTGTCAGGTAAACAAGCCAGGTCTTCCATCTCTTCCCTGTGGTCATGAAAGTAACCTGGGATCTGCAAATAGGGAGCAGTGAGCCATAAAGTGTACCACTGTTCTGGGATGGTGGGCGAAGTTAGAGTGCAGGGAATAATGGAGCAGCTGCCCTTTGGGGGAGTGCAAGGGACTCATCAAGAATAGCTTTCAACCCTGGTTTGTTGATACCAATTTTAGAAGGTATACCTTTCACATCTTCCTGTTTCCATAGGCTACCTTCTGTCTTCTTGTCTATTCCCTCAGTTACACCAACCTGAAGTTCATGGCTACCCAAATTGCTTCTGGCATGAAGTACCTTTCCTCTCTTAATTTTGTTCACCGAGATCTGGCCACACGAAACTGCTTAGTGGGTAAGAACTACACAATCAAGATAGCTGACTTTGGAATGAGCAGGAACCTGTACAGTGGTGACTATTACCGGATCCAGGGCCGGGCAGTGCTCCCTATCCGTTGGATGTCTTGGGAGAGTATCTTACTGGTGAGTCCTCAGCATTTTAAAGCCCTACCTAGCAACTGGCTTGTGGGCTGGCACACACAACATGTGGAGACAAACCTGAGACAGCAAGAGGCAAACTCAGTAGACTGTAAGATTTTCTCTGATTTGAAATTATTACTATTATTTTAGACGGAGTTTTGCTCTTGTTGCCCAGGCTGGAGTGCCGTGGCATGATCTTGGCTTACTTTAACCTCCGCCTCCCGGGTTCAAGCGATTCTCCTGCCTCCAGCCTCCTGAGTAGCTGGGATTGCAGGCACCTCCCACCATGCCAGGCTAATCTTTGTATTTTTGGTAGAGATGGGGTCTCACCATGTTGGCCAGGCTGGTCTTGAACTCCTGACCTCAGGTGATCCACCCACCTCTGCCTCCCAAAGTGCTGGGATTACAGGCATAAGCCACGATGCCTGGCATGCTTTGTGTACTAATTCTTATTCTTCAATGCTTGCCTATTTCTGCTACAAAATTAACACACTTATTATGAAAATTTAGGGAGACAAGTTAAAAAGTATACGATATTTATCTTTGTTTCTCTTTATCATTTCTATCTAGTGATTTTTCTTAATTTAAGGTATTAAAAACCTTATCATTTAAAGGAATGTTATCTGTACAAAATATTTTCTTCTCCATTAGTTTCATAAGCATGTTTCCCGTAATTATATAGTCTAATCCCTATAATTGTATTTCAGTACTTTTCAACATGTTCTTTTTAAGTTCATCATTCTTTGCTGTGTAATTTTTATTCAATTCTTGATATTCCATACCATAAGTGAATATTTTTTTCCAAGTATCTCTCTTAGAGGTATATTTTCTGTCCATGAATACCTGAGACTTTTTAATTGTTGATTTTACAACCACTCAGCTCATTAGACTTATAGACTCATTAGACTATACACTTTTACTTCCTACAATGCCCTTTACATGTTATCTTTTGTCTTGTGTAACATTGCAGAGAAAAATCGGAGACCAATTTGGTTTTGTTCATCTGTGGTTAATCTGCTTATTTCCTACTCATATTCTTATAGAATTTGTGAATATTTTGGAAATGACAAAATGTATAGTTATTCCCTTTTACTCACCAAGATAACCATTATTGATGTTTTGGTATATTTCTTTGAGGAATTTTTTTCCATACATCTATTTTTTCTATGCATGCCTTTCTATATGTATGTACGTATATGTAATCTATACTATATAACTGGGATGACACTATGCTATACAATTCTTGATTTCTATTTTTAACTTAACATTTTATTATCTGCATAATATTCCATTGTGTAGATATATCCTATAACTTAATAATGCCTCTATAATTTGATATTTAAGTACTTTCCAATTTCCTGCCATTATGAATGATGCTGTGATGCACACCAGTTTACATAAAGCCTTAAAGATCTTTTTCAACTACATATGTGAATTGTATATTTTACACATTTCTAATGGGATATTTAGGCATTACTCTCTCTAAAGGTATTGTGTGATGCTGAAAATACATTAGACTGACATTCAGAGGACCTTGGTTCAAATACAGTTTTTCCACTGCGAATGGTCTTATTAACCAGGCAACTCTGGGAAACCTCTCCTGTTTAATTTTTCTGATCTAAAAACTATGGATAGCTGGCATGGTGGTGTGTACCTGTAGTCCCAGCCACTCAGGAGGCTGAGGCAGGAGGATCAAAATCTGGGCTGCACTGCACTATGCCTGTTGAGAATCCTTACTGAATCTGGCATTAACATGGTCACCCCTAGGAGCAGTGAACCACCAGGTTGCCCAAGAAGGGATGAGCCAGCCCAGGTTGGAAACAGAGGAGGTCAAAATTCCTGTGTTGATCAATTACTGAGATCAAACCTGTGACTAGCCATTGTACTCCAGGGTGGGCAACATAATGAGACCCCATCTCTCAAAGGAAAAAAAAATTTAAAAATAAATTATATCCACTTCACAGTGTTGTTTTCTGTATTGAGTAGAAAATATGAGTAATCAATGCATGCTAATTATACCTGACTCTCATTACTGTCACTTGTTGAAGTCTATCTTTCAACACTGTGAGTATCACTGAACTGGTAAATGAGAGTCCTGGATTCACTCCAGGCACTTAAACTAGATTCCTCTGTCTCTAACATAAAAACAATTGACCTCCCACTCAGATTTTGCCTTTCTCAGGAGCATTTTCCCAAGGCTACCCTAGAACTGAAAGGTTGACCTAACACTCAGTCGCAGAGTCAGATCGCTTATGGCTGCATTTTTTTCAGCTCTTGGATCTTATCTGCAGAGAAACAGAACTAAGTTGAGATAATGCAAATGAGAGAACAGGCCGTTTTCTTTTTTTTTTGTTTTTTGTTTTTTTTTGTTTTTTTTTTTTTGAGACCGAGTTTCTCTCTTGTTACCCAGGCTGGAGTGCAATGGTGCCATCTCGGCTCACCGCAACCTCCGCCTCCTGGGTTCAGGCAGTTCTCCTGCCTCAGCCTCCCAAGTAGCTGGGATTACAGGCACACACCACCAGGCTCAGCTAATTTTTTTATATTTTTAGTAGAGACGGGGTTTCACCATGTTGACCAGGATGGTCTTGATCTCTTGACCTTGTGATCCGCCTGCCTCGGCCTCCCAAAGTGCTGGGATTACAGGCGTGAATGAGCCACCACGCCCGGCGGGAATGGGCTGTTTCTAAACACTATATGAACATCTTGGCAGTTTCAGAGTTCCTTCCCTGTGGTAGAGGAAAGGGTACAACTCCAGATTATGAAATCTAACCGGTTCTTGTTCTGTACAGGTTATTCTGATTTCCCATTCTTTTCTTGACTGAAATAGGGCAAGTTCACAACGGCAAGTGACGTGTGGGCCTTTGGGGTTACTTTGTGGGAGACTTTCACCTTTTGCCAGGAACAGCCCTATTCCCAGCTGTCAGATGAACAGGTTATTGAGAATACTGGAGAGTTCTTCCGAGACCAAGGGAGGCAGGTAAGAACTGTTGGGGAATGGATGTGGACCTGTGTACTCCTGAAGGATGGAGAATGGAAAGTCCTGACTTAGCAGGAGTGGGCTGAGCTGGAAGACACACTATCTGGATGATAGTCTTTGTCACTAACTATCCAGAAGATGTGAAAGACCGGATCCTCCCAAGGCATCCGTACACTTTGCTTTATCCATGTGCCAACTCATTGACTCATGGAGAGCATAAACAATCATGCCAGGTTCCTCCCCAACTCAAAGGTGGCAGGAAATAAAGTCCTATCTCTCGTGTTTTATCTATTTCTTAATCTGGACCATGTGGTTTTTCTTCTGGTTCAAAAAATGTAAGTGTAAAAGAGAGATAGTAGCATTTATTTAAAATATAGCTGAATGTAAGAAATGGGGTTGTTTTTGACTATCTAGCAATGTTTCTAGACTTGTCCAAAAATGAGCAGCTATACCCTGAATTTGTTGCTCTTGGAAGACATCTCTGAACCCAGTATTGTGGCATCTCAGGACTCAGGGAAAGATGGGTTCCCAAGCTACATAGGCATCTCAGTTCCTAGCCAAGATACTCCAAGCTGTTTTGGGGTGGCTTCGGTTTAAAATTCCTGTAGAACCTAAGCCAGCAGGGAGACTGATTTCCATTCCTGGTTGAGGAAAACAAAGCACTGAGAACATACAAGGATAAATGGGCTGCCACCAGAGGTGGGGACTCTTTTGTCACTGGAGAGGTTAAGATACAGGCTCAAGAACGATGTAAGATCTGGAATTTGAAGCTTGGCAGGAACTACAGCACTGCACCTCCCCAAAGCAGCCTGGCAATAGCATATCCTTGGATTATGGCATCTTCACCAGGAAAAGGCTAATAGCTGGGGAAGGGTCTTGCAGACAACAAAAAGGGGATCTTCTGTGGCTTAAATAGACCCAAGTGAGCCAAAGATAGAGAAGAGATTGACAGAGGATAATACATTATACATATTAAAAATAAGAGGGGGGTCTCAGAATTCAATTTTATCTTGATATTCCATAAATATTTTAGCAGAGGGGAGTCTAAATTAGCTATCTTGGTTATCGGGCATTGTCTTCTTACTCTCATAAAGGGAAAATTTACTCCTGAGTACACGAGGTAAGTGAGTGGGCCGAAGAAAAATGTTTTCTGCTTCTGTCATGATTGGCTCAGCCAAGATGAACTTCAACATGGGTTGCCCATAAATGGAAGATTTGGTCTCTTTCTGGTTGTTTCATCTTTTACATGACGGTAGGGACCACATAACGGTCCATCAGAAAATTCTGCTCCAGAGAACTGGAGAAGACAAAGGGAATCGCTTAGAAAAGGGGTGATATGATTCAGAACTTCAAAGAGTAGGAAAAATGGACACCACACCCATTTCAGTTATCAAATTCAAGAAAGTAGGCAGGGGGCAAATCAAACCATGATGCTAAGATGCTTCCATTCCCCCCCCACTTCCTAATACTCTCTCTCTTTTTGGTTTTCCATTATTTTTGTTCCCAAAGACTTACCTCCCTCAGCCAGCCATTTGCCCTGACTCTGTGTATAAGCTGATGCTCAGCTGCTGGAGAAGAGATACCAAGCACCGTCCCTCATTCCAAGAAATCCACCTTCTGCTCCTTCAACAAGGTGACGAGTGATGCTGTCAGTGCCTGGCCACATTCCTACGGCTCAGGTCCACCCTACCACTCACCCACACCTACGCCACTCCATCTGGACACTTAATGAACCTGAGAGACAGAGGCTTGTTTGCTTTGCTCTGTGTTCCTGGTCCCTCCCACTCTACTCCCCCACTCCCTACCCCTCATATATACTTTTTTTTTTACATTAAAGAACTAAAAAAGAAAAAAAAAAAAGCCTAGAGCAGATAAAATCTAGTAAAAGAAAATCTTACTTGATATACCAAAAGTGTTGGATAACAAAGGCTAGAAAATTCAGATAATTTATAAAGGTTAATTATTCTTGTGCTTATAAATGTGCAGATTCTACAATATTTTTTCATGTCACTCTAAACAAATCTTCAGAAAGAAAATCTTGAAGGATACTAATATCTTGGGAAACATGAGATGAAGTTTAGGGAAAACACTCAATAGATGTGGAGAATCTGAGGACTCAGAATTCAGCAACTAATCACATATGGTTTTCTAATTTGGCCTCTGGACATGTCTCACTGTATTTCTCTCTCCTGTCAAAGTGAATGATACATTCTTGAAAACCCCTAATTTCTTGAAATGAGTATTTTGTTCATTCATGGGCAGCAGTCAGGGTTGAAGTTCATGTATGAAACAACAGGGGATGTAGATGGGAAAGAAAGCTTGCTACACGACTGTATGAAGGGGAATTGTCATTTCCAAAAAAAAAGTACCTCATGCATGGAAGGATTCTTGAATAGATAATGGACATAGGAAAGAAGGTCAGTGGAGGGCACGTAACAGACATGCTATCCACCATTTATTTGGATTTCATTAGCAGGTTCTCTTCTTTGTCTTGTACAGACATTTTCATGTGTGTGTTTTAGTGAGAATGTGAGTTTTTAATCAGTACAGGCTGATGTTTTGATGTCTTGATGGTAGATTTCTGAGTTCATCTTGTCCAAATATTCTAGCTCTTTCAAGGATGACGCCTCTGTGGGATCTTTGGACTTGGGGCTGCATTTCTCAGGCATAAATACCTAATGGCCTTGTCTAAGAGGGAATTGATCTATTCTGAGGGTCCCCAAAAATGTTATCTCAGTACTGATGAGGAGAAGTTACAGGGAGACTGATTTCCATTCCTTATTGAGGAAAACAAAGCACTCAGAACATAGAAGGATACATGGGCTGCCAACCAGAGTGGATAGTCAAAATTTTGTCACTGGAGAGGTTAGGATACAGGCTCAAGAATAATGCAAGGAAAATTGAAGTTTTCAAACAGAAAGTAGATGGTGCTATGAGACACTGTTTAACGTCCTTCTAACTCCGAGTGCCCTTGATTCTGGAGAGGCACAGGATGAGCATCTGTTGCTACTGCTGTGTAGCAACAGATATACCCTTTTGCCTCTGAGATGGTATGACCAGCAGAAAAGAAAGCTAAAGGCTGTGGCTTCAGAATTCGTGGAAACAGAGCCACTGTCAAGAAGGAATCTTCTCAGAGCAAATTCTGAGCTTTCACACTCCACAAATCCTCAGATTTAGTGGGACGTTGGAAAAAGGAACTCTTAATTCCCAATGAGGAGAAACAAGACAACATTACAAATCAGCTTCCCAAGATGAGAAGGAATAGCCTTGACCCCTTGGGTCTGCCTCTGTTGCCTTCACCAGTTTACCTTCTACAACAGTTTCTCAGGAACATGAGTATTTCCCCATTCAGCCTTCAGCATTGCTCCAGGCCACAGCATAAGTATAAGTCTTAAGTCCACAGGATCCATTTTTCAAGTCATCTTCTGATCCTAGCAAATATCTTTTCCCGTAGTTGTCTTATGTCTTTGGGCTTTAGTCTATCCCAGGACAAACTTTGGAGAAATCACTAATTTGAGAGTCAAGAGAGCACTGGTTCGGGAGCTTTGATCCTGTTTCTGCTTCACACCAAGTATGTCATCTTGGCTAAATCACTTGGTCCTTCTGCATTTGTTTTCTTCTTGATAGGATGAGGAAATTAGATAAATGGTTTTGAGGTCCCTTCTGGTTCTGATATGTCCAGTACTCACTGGATAATTGGATCTATAACTGATGGATTTAGTAATCTGGTCATTTCTTGCTCTGAAAACTGTAGTCAGCAAAAGAGATCATGGAAGAAATCACTGTAATGGTAGTAATAGTAACACATGACATTTGTATTATGCCTTAGGTTTACCAGATGTTTCTACATACATTATCATATTTGATATGTACAGGGCTAGATACCTTGGACCCTGCAACACTCAGCTTTCAAGATAAGATAAGCTTCATTAGAGGGCTGTGGGCAGTGGCTAAAGCCTATAATCCCAGCACTTTGGGAGGCTGAGGCAGGTGGATCACAAGGTCAAGAGATTGAGATCATCTGGTCAACAAGGTGAAACCCTGTCTCTACTAAAAATACAAAAATTAGCTGGGCATGGTGGTGTGCGCCTGTAGTCCCAACTACTTGGGAGGCTGAGGCAGGAGAATTGCCAGAACCCAGGAGGCGGAGGCTGCGGTGAGCTGAGATCGCGCCATTGCACTCCAGCCTGGGTAACAAGAACGAAACTCCATCTCAAAAAAAAGATTAGCTTCATTAGAATTAAAGGGACTTGAACTCAGGACTGGCAGCCTATTCTTCTTTATCCATATGCCTTTGGTAGGGCTAATTCCAGATCATGCTATGACTTCTTATAGAGCAAGAGAAAATAATATTATTTTATCTTCCTTTGCCTGACATCTCTCCACTTATTCTTTTTTAAGAATCTGCCCCAGTTCACTGAGTTATTCTATGATTATATAATTTTTATAAAAAATCATATTTAAAATGAACTCAGAATGTCTGAATATTTCTGGCCTTGAGTCATAGAAGTAATCTGTTTCAGATGGTTGCCCAATATGTATTATCATGTCATACGTATATGTATTCTTTTCTGGGGTGAGGAAGGCTTCAACTTCTGGCACTGAGACCTCTGTGTTACAGACACAGGTTTAGTTTCTAGCTTAGTCATGCCTTTAGAGTTCAAATCTAAGCAACCCAGCAGAATACATGGCGAGGGCCTAGTGTGATTAGAATCTAAAAGTAGTTAAAATCTGAATTAGAAGAATGAAGCTAGGACTTTTTTGGAAAAGGAGAGAGAAAAAAAAAGATCAAAAACGGCTGGGCCTTATTACCTTTGCAATAAGTTATCTTCTTCATGATAATGTAAATTATTTTATGTGCAGATTGCGTTTTGGGATTGTCGGATCTGAATTTATATTCTTGCTGGCTAACGTGCTGAGAGCTAGGTCTGAAACTTGATGTACTATCCAGACAGGTGTGAGATCAGAAAACATCTAGAGTGCAAAGAGGTGCCTGAGGAGCAAAATGTGGTTTTAATGTTGTGGAAAGATCACTTGCAAGTATATAAGACTATGTAACGAAGAGGATTGTATGCAAGTGGGGTGAAAGAAAAAAGGATACGCGAATGTGCATATGACTGAACAGGGAGGAAGGTCAGGGCTAGGAAGGAGGCAGTGGAGAGCACACAGGAAAGACACAGGGAGGGTCAGGTCGAGCAAGGTAGGAACAGGTAGCTGGAGCCATTGGGAATCCATTCTGAAGCAAGGAGGAGCTTTGAAAGGGATTAGGAAAAGTAAGGTTCTTGAAGTAAAAGATAAATATGGGTGGAGAAAGAAGACATTCTGGACGATAGGGATGATAAAAATATTTATTAAGAAATGAAGTCAGGTTCAGTGTATGAAACGGAAGGGAGTCTTCTAGCATTTTAAGAAAAAGGAAGTTCCTCTTGGAAAAGACATAGCAACCATGGGAATGACCTTTTCATTTCAGAAGTGGGTGAGGAAGGTGGTTTGAGCACCAGGTGTACTCTGGACCATTTCAAGTGCTGGTGAGAAAAAAATCAACCCTTTGCCTGAACTGGGCTTGGTTTTCCAAGTGCTGCTTTGAAAATGAAGACCCAGAGATGGGGAGCTTATGGCAGTTCATGAATCTTCATGTTCTATTATCTTTTCTCTGTCAATAAAGTTCATTTTCTATAATGCCAACCATTGCTGTGCCCAGAATAACCACAGGCAAACATCAAAACAATAGGCATAAGTTAGAGAAGATTGAATTATGTCTGATATCTGCACAAACAGATATGCACCATGTTGGAAACATGTGTTTTTCTAGTCCCATCCAGGCTTCCCACAAGAAAGCCACGATGTGGGGCTAAACCATATGTTTTGAGTAAAGGAGAATAGAAGGGGAGTGTCTGCCAGAGGGAAAAAGATGAAAATGTTCCAAGGAAGTATACTAAAATAGAACAGTGTTATGTTTTGCTCAAAACTACAAAATAAAAAATAATAAAAAAAGAATTACAATATATGGCTACTACGTCTTTGATTGCAAGTTGAATTTATAGACCTGGAATTTGCCATCCTAGTCTTTTCTTTTTAGTAAGACTTCTGTCCTCCGACAGTGCATACGGTAGGTCCCTAATGTTTCTGCATCTCCAGGAAGTTGCAGGTCCTTATTTTTGCTGGGAAATCCTTCTGAATAGAAATTTAACATTTTTATAGAAACAGATGAATGTGTTTTCCATGTAGTAAATGTTTTCAAGAAGTGACTTGAGAGGGAAAGAGACTGGAGTGGTTAATGGTGATTTGATTTCTGGAATTTTGAGTTTTCTGCTATAATTAGCTGTATTGCTTGGTGCCAAAGAACAGTGGGGAATTGTTCAATTCAAAATAATTTTTAAAAAATTGTTATTTTGAAAGAACTTGAGGCTTACAATTAGTTTATCCTAGATCCATTTTCCCCCATTTATAACACTTCATTTAGTCCATTTTCAGAACCAGAAAATTGACATTGGCATAATGCTATTAAACTACAGAACTTTTTTTGATTTCACCAGTTTTTCCACACATACTCATTTAGTTGCTGGATGCTTCTAATTCCTGCAATTTGTAACCTGGCCTTGCTTGGATACAACAGGAAAGACATTATTTGGATAAAATTCTACAATATTAAACCAAATTAATGTATTCGTTTATTACGAGCAATACCCTGCCTTCACTGCTTCTAAATTTTCTGATTTGTTTAGCTGTTTGGCACCTGAAACAATCCAAGAAACACTTAGGAAGATTAGGGAACACAAAAGACAGTAAAGCTTTTTCATGGCTTGTTGGCTAGAAAACCAGATATAACAGGATATTCTAGATGCTTCCCAGAGCTCCGACAAATGAGTAGGGTTAGTACTGGGGACAAGATGAGGAGTTTGGAGTAAACCAGTATTTTGGTCGAGAGTTCGTTGGCACTTAGTTAATGGCACTGGGAATAGCTTGTGAAGATAGTAGAACACAATGATACAGACTCCTCATGTTTGAGAAAATACTATTTTCAGAGTGGTAGAGAGGTTTCATTTGCCTAAATAGCTGTTCTTAAATGGAATAACAACCACTTTAGACCTAATTAATTGCAAACACAGCAGCAACCTGGGGAGAAGTTGAAACTCCAGTTTTGTGGATTACAGTTTTGAGTTTTGTGATTGACATTTTTAAGTCCCCTATTTTAGGGGTCACAAGATTATAACAATATGCGTCTTATTAAGTTCCTAGGTCATTGTGAGCACTTGATAAATATTTGCCGAACGTTGTTTTTTTTTTTAATGAATATAAGATGGAAACAAAAACTTGTCATCCAGTTTACTAGAGTGAATGCAGGGAGAATAGTTTTACTGTAACATGGAGAGTTTATTTTCAAATGAAGAAAGAAAAAAATGCTCAGACTTGTACCTGGTGAAGTACATTCTCCATTTGTATACTTTTTGATGGTGTAATTGATATATAGAAATGCTTAATTTTTTGAGGCATTCAGACAGCAATGAAAGGAAGTTCTCCATAGGACACTGAATCAAAAGCAGAGACTAGATTCTAACCTCATATCCAGCCTATTTGAAACAAGCTATCTAGTTTCTCCTGTAGACATCTTGTCAACAACATGCAACAATGTCAGGTGCCTTGGAGGAAAAGCTAGCCTATGCTCATCCACAATCACAAATACATGTCAAGAAAGAATTTGCAGAGATTCAAGGGAATTACAATGGGATAAGGTAATCACTTTCAGCGAAAAACTGTTTACTTGAAAAGAAGCTTGGACACAATCGAAAGCTGGATCCCTGCACACACATCAAGAGTTTGTAATCTAGCCTATCCATTATATGTCCTTTATTATTCATGATGTCCTATTCTTCTACCTGGTTGTCTGGTGACTTTTTCTGAGGACTGCGTTTCTGCAGCAATGTGGTGCACTCTTCCTGTGATGAGGAAACATCTGGGCCTCCTCCTGCAGGCTTTGGAAGATGATGTGTCTTGTCAAGGGGTAAAGAGCAAATGGATTTAATTTCTGCTTGAAACTATTATAGACATTCCAAATAGAATACGTAAAGATTCTCTGTATTAGAAAAAGAAACGTGATACCAATTGTATATTTTCTTTTCTTTATTTATTCTCTGTAAGTCTGTCAGATGATAAATTGTAAATAACAATGATTAAAGAGTCATGCTACTGATGGATCTCCCTTTCTGGATAAGCAGTGCGAGTTCTGGGCTTTGTAACCCTTGCCCTTTATAGTCTTACATCATTCCTAGGGATGTGATGGGGTATGGGACAGAGCTGTGGTGTGGACACCTGTTTATGGGGCTGTCCAACAAAGGATTATTTAAATAGGCCTCTAACATATGAGTTGACTATTCACTGGGAGGAAAGCATCTTGGTCTCTGACATATCCAAACATGTGAGACACTGGGATTTTATGTCCTCATATTAATTAGTCCAGTTCTGGGGAATTCAGTCCAGAATTAACTGGGGATCCCTTATCATTATGGTTACAGACTTGTCTTGTTTGATACGGAGATATTTCTTTCAAATACAGATATCGTCTCAGACTGCCCGCACATGCACAAACCAATAAAAACTATGAAAACCAGAATTTAGACTCAGTCATTATAATAAAGATTAGAATGAAATGACCTCAAACCCATCTCTTACCTGGTGTCTGAGAATAAGTTTGTGTTTTTAGTTTTCCAAGAATATTTTTCAGAATATGTGAGTTTTCTGAGCACATTTTTCAGCACTGGGCATGGCAGATAAATCACAGGGTCAAGGTTTGGCAGGGAGATGGGATCATTGTGTACCATATTGTTCTTCTGGTTTCCAGGAAAACGGAATGAGCCCATGAAAAATACAAACTTAGGATGATTAAAAAACATTCCTACCAATTCACTCATCAATAAAAATATATTATGATGGTTATCAAGCCTTGTCCTATGTGTGATAAAATACTTGTAAAAAGAAAATTAGGCCAGGCGTGGTGGCTCATGTCTGTAATCCCAGAACTTTGGGAGGCCGAGGCGGGTGGATCACGAGGTCAAGAGATCGAGACCATCCTGGTCAACATGGTGAAACCCCGTTTCTACTAAAAATACAAAAATATTAGCTGGGCATGGTGGCGCGTGCCTGTAGTCCCAGCTACTTGGGAGGCTGAGGCAGGAGAATTGCCCGAACCCAGGAGGCAGAGGTTGTGGTGAGCAGAGATCGCGCCATTGCACTCCAGCCTGGGTAACAAGAGCAAAACTCCGTCTCAAAAAAAAAAAAAAAAAGGAAAATTAAATGGCATCAATTGTGAAGAGAATTGTATTGTAGTCTGAGCACCTCTAGCAGTTTAGCCCATCTTTCAAAGGACATAACATCTTGAAAGCAGCAACGTTAGTGGATAAAAAAGGAAGAAGAGAGCAGTTTCATCACTTGGCTTGAATAAAAATCATGGAGAAAGAAAGGATTGCTGTATTGCTCTGAAGTTGTCTGGACTTCACTTAATTCAGTCTGTGTTAGGCTGGTGTGCATCCTGAGACTGCAATAATGCTCAGCCTCCACAGCCCAGGCCCTCCCGCTTTCTTTATAGAAATGAGGTTTTTATGGGACAGCCACACAACCAGGTCTCTCCCTTAGTATTCCTCATCACCTCTGAGATCTAGGACATTTTAAAAGAGAACTTTGGGTCTGGACTTTCATGACTAGGCTTAACTTTACTCCATGACTTTCACAGGACAGTGTTAAACTGTGATCTCTTTAGAAGAGTTGAAAGTGGGATAAACGTAGGAGCCGAGTTCCACCCCCACGATAAAGAAGTTTTATTTAGGAATAATATTCTAATAACCAGATTTGTTCTTTCAATCTAATTTTCGTGATATAAGATAAATGATTGCTAAGTTAGTTGGTATCATTAATCAAAACCTCTAGGATCAAAAGCCAATATAAATTATCTCAGTGTTTTAGGGATCATTGCTGTTCATAAATAATTCAAACATTGAAAGAGGCCATTAAGTAGATTACAGTATGTTCAGTAGAGTTTGATGTATCATACACAGTTTTATCCTGTGTGAGCTGGGGCTGGTTACAGTCCCATTACCAGTTTACTACAATACAGAAACCTAGTGTAAGCATTAGAAACTTTTATAGCAGTTTTGTCACCGGAAGGAGGGCCTTGAATGTGAGTTGTCCAGGTTCTTGGCATTTGGAATGAAAAATTGTACAAAATGCACAAAGTAACAAAGGAACGAAGCAGCGAAAGCAATAGCAGGGATTTATTAAACTGAGAAAGCGTTGCCAAGGTGGGAGTGGGCCTGAGCAAGTGGCTCAAGGGCCCAATTACAAAGTTTTTTGGTTTTTAAGTAGTCCTTTTGAGGTCCCTATGGGCTACCCCTTATCTGGATGAAGGATTTGGTCCATGGCTAAGTAAAAGCTGAGGTGAATTTGTGTCCTACGCAGATGAAGGCATGGCCCATGCTTAGTGCTTGCCCACAGCCAATCCAAGACACTTTCTCTTTCAATCTGAGACCTGGTAGAAGTGTGGCAGGCCAGGTCTCACTAACAACTGTTTCAGTGGTTAAGTTAAATACTAAAAGCCAGTGCCCTTATACAAAGTCTAGGATGTAACAAAAACCCATTAAGAGTTTTGTCTAGGCCTTTCCTGGGCCTTAAAGCATGACAAAATAACGAAGGAATTCTTAATAGGGCCCATTTAGGATTAAATAAGTTTTACTGTGTATCTGAAGAAACTCCTCAGGAGTCCACAAACAAGTTTTTTGGGGGTCTAAAGGAACTCCTCAAACCTTCAGTAACATAGCAGGAGACAAGATAAGGGTAATCACCCCAGCACCTGGATCCATTTAGAGTAAGTAAATTTACTGAGGCTCCAGAGGAAGGTTTTCAGGACTCAGACCTTAGTATAGATTAAAAGAAGTTAATCACTTATGTCTTTAGATGAATGCACACTTACACGTAGACATACAGCTTAGAAGGTATATAAGCTCTGAAATACTTTGTAATTTTGAGTTGGTCTGGTGATAATTTCCAGACTTTCTCCCTGTAACCAGTTACAAAAATAAAAACTCTCCTGCTCTTGGTTCATCTGCATCTAGTTATTGGGCCTCAAAAAATAGCAGCCCAACCCTCGGTTTGGTCTGGGAAGAGAAGTGGGAGAATTGTAGGGAGAGTAGCCTTTGATCCTTTGCTACTGCGGAGTGGGGAGATGGGGTTTTTCCTTCTGACTTAGCTTTAGGAAGTTGGTGTTAATTGGCACTAAGTTCCCTGCCCCCAGACCCAGGTGTTTTCCTTTTGCTCCAGCTTTGGGAAGCCAGCAGGAACTGTTCTCAGCTTCCCTACTCCCAGACCTTGCTGTTTTTCCTTGATTCCTCTTTAGGAAGTCGGCCGGAATTGGCCTTAAGTTGCCTGCCTCCAAACCCTATTCTACTGCCTCGTTTTGGCAGAGTACTTTTATGTGTGTTGAAAATCGGGGCTTGTTTTGTATGCCTTTTGCTTTTCTTTTTCTAGCACTTTTTTTTTGTATTTTCTTTTTTTGAGACAGTTTCCCTCTTGTTACCCAGGCTGGAGTGCAATGGCGCGATCTCGGCCCACCGCAACCTCCGCCTCCTGGGTTCAGGCAATTCTCCTGCCTCAGCCTCTTGAGTAGCTGGGATTACAGGCACGTGCCACCATGCCCAGCTAATTTTTTGTATTTTTAGTAGAGACGGGGTTTCACCATGTTGACCAGGATGGTTTCGATCTCTTGACCTCGTGATCCACCCGCCTCGGCCTCCCAAAGTGCTGGGATTACAGGCTTGAGCCAACGCGCCCGGCCCTTTTTTTGTATTTTCTAAAAGCACCCATTTAGGATGGCTTGGAAACACAAACAGGTCCTTTAGCACAGTCTGAGATACACTGGCATAGGCGGTTAAAGCACATTCTCAGTACTTCAGAGAATGAGTTTCTGAGATTCTGATTCCACCCCACATTCCAAGTTTTGAATACTGGTAATTTACGCATGATCTACATAAAGTTCTTAATAAAATCAGTGCTCATTTTCTCAATTAAGTTTCTTTAGAGGAGGAGGTCTGGGATCAGAAGTTGTGCTGTTAAGTGGCACAATGCCTGGATCTACGCATCCAAAAAGGAATGGAAAATTAGACAGACAGTAATCCCCCAACTTTAGCTCCTAGACCCAAACCTTTCCTCTAAAATGGGCACCGGTGCACATACCCTGAGACCTTCCTGTAATGAAGCGCCAAACTCAGGCGCCAGGGCACAGACTCCCGTGCGGACTAGAGCCCCAGTCCCGAGCGCTAGACCCGGGTAACGCCCCCACCATGACGAAGATAAGGCGCCACTGAGTCCTAGGCGGGCAGGACCGATAACAGCGCCGCGGCGGAGCGAGGAGAGCCTGGATTGGCTCGGGCCCTTGCGTCACGCAGCTCCGCCCCTCGGCCTATCTCACCCCACCCCGTCTCCGAGGTCAGGGAGCGGTTGGAGGACTGAGATTGGAGGGATCAGCGCAGACTCGATGACGCAACGGAAGGAGGCGGGACATGGCCTACTCTGATTGGTGACGGGAGAGGTGGGCCGGGCTGGGCCGAAAGCTCAGGACTTCCGAAAGCAGCCGCGGCGTCTGCCTCAGTCCCTGGAAGTGTGCGTGCGCGAAGATGCGAAAGGTGGTTTTGATCACCGGGGCGAGCAGGTGAGGCCTCCTTTGGGTTGGCAGAGGCGACAAAGGATCAGGGGTTCGAGAGAGGAGGGGTCTGCGACCCTCCACGGACGGACCCCGGGAGCGCCCGCCCCTGACTTTGCCTAGGTTCCCCGCAGTCCTGCACTGCTCGAGGTGGGGGGCGTGCCGGCCTCTTGAGGTGCTCAGTAACTGGGGCTGTGAATTAAACATGGCAGTGAAAAAGAAAACTAGAGCGTCAGTAAGTGACGATTGTCACAGTGATAATCCTGAGGTTATCAAGGGAATAGGGGCTCACGTGGGCCCCTTCCCTTCCCCATCTTGGAGCTTTTTTTTTTACCGTCTGTGCCCAACATTTTGCTCCTAACTACGTGGTCATGCCTTAAACTCCAGGTATTTTGTCTGTACAAGCCTTTTGCCTACAAATTTGAACACCCATGAACATTAGGACGGTGGGGAAAAACAATCCCGTTCCATTTAGCTCAGTGCTAGAGACCTAACGTACTTTTCAGAAACCAAGAGAAAATTAATCTTTTCCTATGAAGGCATGGTTGGGGTGCAGGATGACCAGCTCATAGTTACTCCAGGGTTGCTCATGTAGTTTCTCAGCCTCTTCTGTTGCCTGTTTTACCTCTCATTTGCACTTGCATGGAGAATGTGTAGAAGATGAAGCCAATCAAACCGTTTTTCTACGAGTTGCATTTGGCATTTTTGATTAAGACAGAGGACATGTTAAACGTTTAAGATTGGTCCACTTTCAGTTATTTAACCACATGCATATTAACTAAGCCAGCTTGGTGAGTGTTGCAGTTGGCAACTTTTTAGCTTGTCCTCTCAGGTTACTTTAACAGTTGATGCTTCTTATGTGGAAGTTACTGAAATAAATCAGAATTGATTTTGTCTGTTTCTTTTACATTTATTGTGATATGTGCAATTGTATATTAAATGCTTACTATTCCATGTGAGGACAAATAAATATTTTTGATGGGTTAATGTCAGTGCTAACAGATTACTGATGGTTCCAGGGTCTTTTTTGGGTTTTAACTATTAGTATATTTGCCTGGAATCAGCTTAAGTCTTGAAAGAGAACTTATGACCCAGCTTGTCATTGCTGTCAGCCAGGCTGGTCTGACTCTGTTCGCCACTCTTAAGCGGTTTTGCAATACTGGTTTTGAAGTTCTTTGTCTCAGAGTGGTGTACTCATCCCTGCCTCCCTTTCTTGGTCCTCACCTAATATTTAGTGTATTCCTACTTTCTACTTAATCATATTGAGGTTTTTTTTTTTTCTATTATTAAATTATAGTTGTTTGGAAGGATGTTACTGATGCCTGATTCTGAAGGATTCATCTGTTCCTTTATTGTAGATTTTTGGTGTTCCTTATGGTGGCTATGATACCAACAGGTGGTAGACCCCTTGCCCGTGAGGAGCCTAGACAGCAAAGTAAAAAGGCACATAGGAAACAGCTAATAAGTGCTCTTTTCAGCTCTTACTGGTGATAAATCATTTTCATGAGTGCATTAATAAGTACAAAATGAAAACCACTGGCAGGATAAGACCCAGTAATAGAAAGGCTAAAGAACAACTCTTGTTTTAAGTCCAGTTACTGTGCCGTTGAAGTTTTCCAAAAGGAGAAAAACACAAACTAGACTGTGTCTCAAGCAACTGACTATTAGAGTGGAGGATTCCTCCTTTCTTAAATAATGGTTGAGGCTTTTCTATCTGGGCTTCTCATTGGAGGTCAAGTCGACACAGTTATCTGAACTGGAGAGAAATGCCTCTATCTGATGCCATCCCAGATAATTCACATCTTGTCTGAATTGTCCTCCCAGTGGCATTGGCCTGGCCCTCTGCAAGAGGTTGCTGGTGGAAGATGATGAGCTTCATCTGTGTTTGGCATGTAGGAACATGAGCAAGGCAGAAGCTGTCCGTGCTGCTCTACTGGCCTCTCACCCCACTGCTGAGGTCACCGTTGTCCAGGTGGATGTCAGCAACCTGCAGTCTGTCTTCCAGGCCTCTAAGGAACTTAAGCAAAGGTATATCTCTTGCTGATGAATTTTTTTTCCTCTTACGTGATTGTGTAGCATAACACTTAATAAAATAAGAAAGAAAAGAAAAACCTAAAGAGAAACCAGATGCAGTGTAAGCTGTTATCTGAGGAGATCTGTATAGAGTGACCCATTGTTCCTCAGTACCACATTTTCGTTCTTAACCATGATCATAATTATTTTATGGAGACTAAGTACATTCTGATGTGTGATCAGTTACACTGCCTTATGTTAAGGTAACTCCTTTGACATTTCAATTCATTTTTTACATCTTTCCTTCACATGATGAATTCATTAAGTAGATAAGGCAAGTACTGACATTTAACAAGTGAGAAAACTGAGACACAGAAATAAGGGTAATGTGCCTACGAAGATCATCCAATCTTATATTCATTGGCTGGGACCAAGACCCAAGGTCTTTTCCCTGCTTCCCAAGGGGTATTTTTTTCCTAGGCCAATGAAGATTTGTTCACACCTTCACAATAATTGGCATGCAATAGACATTTGATCAATATTTGGTATATGAAGGAATAGAGTCGGCAGTTGTATAACTCCCCTGAAAGTGAACACAAAATTGCATGTAGGTGTACAATGCATTTTTCTGGGCAGAGAGGGCTTTTTATTTATTTGTTTATTTGTTTTTAAATTGTAAGATGAATTTATAATGAAAAAAGGCCAAGAACCCTGCACTAGTTTCTGCTGCCCTAGGGCTATCTGGAATAATTAATTTTCAAATGTGTTAGTATTGAGGCACTTAAGAAACAAAGAATTACCTTGTTTCCTTGGACAGTAAAATGAATTGTGTAGAAACAAGGAAGGCCTTCTTGAGGAAGACATTTGCTGAAGAAAAATACTTTGTATTTTATGTATGTTGATAATCATTTGCGTTTCCGTGTTCCAAATGCCCAGATTACTAAGTGAAAGCTTGTTTTCTTTACTCTGGCTCTTTTTGCTGTGGCCTTAGTCCTTTGTAAATGTGGCTTCTGGCAGGGCTTGGTGGCTCACACCTGTAACCCTAGCACTTTGGGAGACCGAGGCGGGTGGATCAGAAGGTCAGGAGAACAAGACCATCCTGGCTAATGAGGTGAAACCCCATCTCTACTAAAAATACAGAAAATTAGCCAGGCATGGTGGCATGTGCCTGTAGTCCCAGCTACTTGGGAGGCTGAGGCAGGAGAATCGCTTGAACCCGGGAGGTGGAGGTTGCAGTGAGTGGAGATCACACCCCACTGCACTCCAGCCTGCTGACAAAGCAACTCCGTCTCAAACAAACAAACAAAAAACGTGGCTTCTCTCTCCACTACTGCTGAGCTCTTAGGGTTTTCTGCCACATCCTTTTAAAAAAAAAACCTGAGGAGATTTTCTAGGTTCTGTTTTCACATAAATTGTGATGTATTCCACATCCCCTACTCCTCCGTGACTTAAGAGTCTCCAGGGCTGTGAAGCTGTATACTAAATGTCTTTATGGAGATAAAAACCATAAAGTTGAGAGAAGCTATGAGCTTCAAATCAGGTTTTTAGGCATTCTCTTCCCAAACCTTAGCCAGCTGGCTTCTTACCTGCTTTGTTTAGATTTTGTTATATTTTCTTATTTGGCAGAAAAGAACCTTCATTTCCCAGTTAATGATAGTCCATTCTGATGCAGTTTACTTTTGAGACTTAAAGTTTTAACATTGATAGTACTGACTATCCCAAATGCCTCCCAAAGTTCAAGATATTTGGTACTTTATCACAAGTTTAGTAATATAGTATTCAGTAAGGTATTTAGCAACTTAGCACAGATTCAAGGCAGTGACACTGGAGCAGAAGGGATCAGATGATAAGTGAGTTGTCCCGGGTGCCTGTCACCAGCATTTCACTGAAGTTTTGAGGTATTTATTTAATTCACAAGTCAGCCTTTTTGTTTTGAGATGGTTGGTGTTATTCAGATTTAGGAAATGATGGTGGTAGTGATATTCACACATTTGTACTGTATGAAAGTGTCCAGATAGATTCTTGCTTATGTCAAGGCTCTGCTGCACTCAGTGGCGCAAATGGATCTCTTCAGTTCTAAGTCTGAAGTAAATTAGAGCTAAAGAGAGCTTGAGAATTCCTTCTAATGACTCAAGCAACACCATCCCTGACACCTGGTCTTTCCATCTGTAGCACTCTCTTCTGTTAGGTATGTGCAGATGAAAACTAGTAAGAAATAGTGATTCTGTTTTATCCATAACAGAGTGTGTCAGTTATTTTATTGATGAGTGGTATGTCATTTTACTGAAGCCAGAGCTTAATTTGGTGTCTTTACTAAATATATCCTCTTTGTTCCTAGCCAAATATGTTAATATTCTTAGATTAAAGTTTGCAAATAAGGTAATGGAACAAGCAACAGTGGATGAACGCACACTATCTTTGTGGCACTTATATGATGAACTAATAGTAACAATATCAGCATTTTATTAAATGGTCAATTTAATAAGTTGAGTCATTTGTCAGTTATTTATAGAATGATCATGAAATGTTTGTATGTGATCTGTATTGAAAACCATGTATGTATTTCAGGGTCCTAACTTTAGGAGCTCTGGCTCTTAATGTCGGGCTATTCAGAGACAGTGTGATACGTAGAACTATAGGAGATATTCTGAATATTTAATGGTGTCTGTGAGTATCATGAGAGCAGGCTTTACCTGTTTTGAACCTAGTTCAAAATGAGTACACTTAGAGGAAGATTTATGTAGGTTTAAAACTGAAAATGCTTTTACAATTCAGCATTTCATGTCCTTTCCATGACAAGTATCCAGGAGGAAGTCCAACAAGAATACCTTACCCCCATTCATCTTTTATAATCTCATTGTATTCTTGATGAACTCTTATCATTTTATGATACATAGGACTTGTCGATGAACACTGAAAGGTTTCCACATGGATCTTCTGTTTTATTATATATTTTGGCATTCAGATTTCAGCATTAATAGATCAGGTCAGGTGAATATCAGTATTATACAAATTTTACTTGTCAACCAGAGGAGATGTGGATATCTTTTTTTTAAAAAGCAAGACACTTTGTAATATGAGGAAAGTGGGTTTAATAGATAGAGGGTTGCTGCAATGCCTTATTGGGAGGATAGAGCTGGAAGGAATTGTTGGTCAAAGGTTTTGCTTCAAGTCCATGATGACTCCACAGATTGTTTGAAGCCACTACCAAAAAAAGAATTCTCAAATATTTACTGTGGTTAAAGAATAACTGTTGAGAAAGAAATGTTGTAACTCTAATGTACTCAAAATTTTTTTGAGCTTGCTGTGGCTAATTTAATAATTTAAAAGTATTTTTTGTCTTTTAGGCCTTCTTGATTCTAGTCACTCTAGAGATAAAATATACAATCTTGTCTTGATGTTTTTACTTGCAACTCACAATCTTGTCTTGGTGTTTACCTGCAGGTTTCAGAGATTTGACTGTATATATCTAAATGCTGGGATCATGCCTAATCCACACCTAAATATCAAAGCACTTTTCTCTGGCCTCTTTTCAAGGTAATTTCCATTTTATGGATGAACTGATTGGAAGGAATGTGTTCATTTTTCTGCCTAGTTTTGCTGGTGTGTTAAGTTGGAGGGATGAAACGTAAGAGGGTATTGAAAAGGTTGAAGACACAAAAAGAAGGTGGTGTAACCATATCATCAAAGAAAAGCAATTCTCTTTTGTGGAGATTGCTGAAAGTCCTGCTTTTTATGGTATTCTAAGTCTCCAGGACATTCTAAGTGGTTGGATGGTTTAGAAGGTCCATTTTTGGTCTGCCTGGATATGGCTTTTAGCAAGAACATTTTGAAATTAGGCAGAGTTCTAGATTTCTCAGAGAGACTCCAATTTCCGGGAAAGCTACTTTGACCTATTTCCCAACTGTATGTCAGGTGCTCTGGCCAATAGGTTGGGGAAATGCAGAGAACTAATGTCTTTCTGGGAGATTCTCGTTACACATTAGTGTAATGGCTTTCAAAACTGTTGAAACACAATGAGAGAATTCTTATTTATAGGAATAAATCTTGTTTTGTGACCCAACAAACTTATTCATAAATATGCATTCTTACTGTGTGCTACTCACTATACTAATAGTTTTGCTTTACTTCTTGTCCATTAGAATTCTCTCTCTCTCTCTCTCTGCACTGGTCTTGACCTACTAAATTGACCTCACAGCAGAACAACTTATTAATATGTTTGAAGAATTCCCAGTTAAAAAACAGCCTGTTTCACTTCTTTTGGCAATTAAACATACTTTGTGGGCAGGAAGACTTTTTCCCTGTGGCTAGCTTATTATTCCTTTAGAACACTATAACCTGATTTGGAAAGAGGTGAATAGAGTTTTGGCAGCAGGTTTTTGAGAGACTCAAGTTCCTATTGGTAGTGTGAGCTATAAGTATGTAAATACTTCTGTGAATAGTGGGGGATGGAGGGACTTTGGTATTTCATTTAATACAGTAACCCAGTCTGAGAAATAGGTATTTTTATTCGTGTCATTACAGAATCAAGGGAGGTGTAGTTTATGGGTGAGGGGGATGAGTTGGGAAGTATCTCCAGTTAAAGAAGCTTTAAAAGTCATACAGTTTTCTTTTGCTGTTTCAGAAATGTGATTCATGTGTTCTCCACAGCTGAAGGCCTGCTGACCCAGGATGATAAGATCACTGCTGATGGACTTCAGGAGGTGTTTGAGACCAATGTCTTTGGCCATTTTATCCTGGTAAAGAAGCTATGGGCTTAATAAGCTAGTATTTGGTGTGATAATTTCTGTAAAGCTCTGGACAAAGTGTATTATTATAGTTGAGGAAACAGTTAACTGATTTAATCTCATGTTTGAGTTTTCTTGGTTGCATTTGGCTTGTTTATTGTAAGCATGGGGCACATCTGGAAGCTTTCTTAGATTTTTCTTTAATAAATATACTAATAGTTTTTGATTTTCAGAATTACTGTAAAGATAGTACAGAGAGTTTCTGTATATCCTACACCCAGTTTCCCCTACTATAAACATTTTGCATTAGTATGATGCTTTTGTCAAAATAGATGAATCAGTTCTGCCACATTATTATTAACTAAAGTACATACTTTATTTGGGTTCTGTTTTTGCCTAATGCCTTCTTTCAGTTCTAGGATCCTATTCAAGATAACGACATTACATTTAGCAGTCATTTCTCCTTAGACTCTTCTTGGTTATGACAGCTTCTCAGACTTCCCTTGTTTTTGATGACCTTGACAGTTTTGAGGAGTACTGCTCAAGTGCTTTGTAGACTCTCTCATTTGGTCTTTGTCTGATGTTTTTGTCATGGTGAGATTGAAGAATGGTTTTTAGGAAAAAGGCCAGAGAGGTAAAGTGACGTTCTCATGATATTATATCAAGGACATATTCTATCAGTATGACTTCTCATTGTCAATATTAACTCTGATGACTTGGCTCGAGGTAATGTTGGTCAGGTTTCTCCATTGTTAAGTTACTTTTTCTTTCTCCCTTTTCATACTCCGCTCTTGGAAAGAAGCTTCCTATGTGTAGCCAGTGCACACTGGATAGTGCTCTTTCTCCTTAAGAGTGGATTATCCACAGAAATTACTTGGATTTGTTTCTGCATGGAGATTTGTCTGTTCTCCTTCATTTATGTCTTTATTCAGTAATTTATTATATCCATAAGGACTCATGGATATGTTTTTTGTACTTAGAAGATACAAATACTATTTTATTTTCTAGCTTAAATTTTTCCAGTCTTGGTCACTGGTAGCTCTTTCAGTTGGCTCCTGTATCTCTTTGCACAACCCCATCATTATGGTTTTCTGTGTTTGTTTTAGCTTTCATTTTGAGCAGCTTTTTACTATCTGGCACTATAAGATGCTTCAGACTCATCTTTTATATTTTCTTCTTCCGTCCTAGAATCAGCTACCTTTCTAAAGACATTCATTTCCTTTTATCAGAGAATGGTTATTAGAAACCAAGATCCGGGTGCTTATTGCTACTGAGATATCAGTGTCTTCTAAACCCTCTCAGCTAACAGACCAAAGATATATATATGTGCATACCAACTTGTGCATGTATACGTATCTGTAAATATTTTTATACATAACTCATTCATGTCTCTTTTAGATAACTAGTTAATACTGATGTCTCTGACCCTAATCTCTTACCATATAAATCATTCTAGCTTCCTCCCCATGCTTATTTGTGATGTCCCGCTTCAACAGTGACAAACCTGACTCCCATCATCCTCCATCCATTTACTTAATTCTTCAATTTCAGTATCTATGGACAGTGGTTTCAAAATTGTTATCTGTACTCTGCCAGTATATTTTAATACTTTTATTCTTTTTTTTTCTTTCACCCAGATTCGGGAACTGGAGCCTCTCCTCTGTCACAGTGATAATCCATCTCAGCTCATCTGGACATCATCTCGCAATGCAAGGAAATCTAATTTCAGCCTCGAGGACTTCCAGCACAGCAAAGGCAAGGAACCCTACAGCTCTTCCAAATATGCCACTGACCTTCTCAGTGTGGCTTTGAACAGGAACTTCAACCAGCAGGTAAGGCCTGTCCCAGTGATACGGAAATGGCAGTGAGGGTTCTCTTAATTGCCTACTATTGATTTCCTAGTAAGGTAACTGGCTTTCCACTAACTCTTGTAGTTTAGATTGAAAGTTGATATATATGAAAGTTTTAGGGCGGAGGTAATCAGCTCCTGACATTTTAGTTATAGGTAGTTCATTCATCATTCTGTGGTGCTTCAGGAATTCTCACTTAGGTTAACAGAGTGACACTACTGAAAGTAATAATAGTTACTGTTTTGGTACTTGCTGTGTTTCAGGTGCTGTATTCATCTGTGTATGTCATTAAATACCTGCCTCATTACATCTAGGTGGGTCTGAGTATTCCCATTTTCAGATGAGGACACTAAATCTCAGAGAACTTAGGTTATTTATACGATGATCACACAACTTCTAAATAGTAGAACTCAGAATTAAGCCCAAGGCTGTCTGACTTTGCAGCTTGGACTTTTCCCATTGCACCATGCTGCCTCCTAGTGTGTATCATAGCAGATGTTTATAGGACAGCCGAGTAGTTATAAAACCTGGATAGTGGTGGTTTTAGGTGAGACTCCAGAGCTCTGTCTCTATGAGGATCTCCGTTTATAGGATGTTTTCTAGGGGACGGTGACCCTTGTTGGTCATACTGGGTCCTTGTGGCCACTGTGGTCTGCAGCTTACTGCCTCTTTGTATGTCTGTTGCCCAGATCTAAATTCTTACCTGAAAGTCTCCAGTCTTCCCTCTGGACATTTTGTTTTGTTTGCTTTGATTAACAGTGTTGTATGTGTATGGGGCTATGGAGAAGTTTAATTTCAATAACGTTCACAAAAGACCTTTCCTGTTTAGGGCACTGGGCCAGGCTTAGGTTTGAGGAAGAAAGTGAAATAAAAAGATGGTCAAAAATTATGTCGTTCCTCAGGGAGCTTCTTGGATTATGAATTAGACATAGAAATATAAGCCTCATGTGAAGGTCAAGACTTGGCTTATTCTGGAATGGCTGCCTTTATCAGGTGGTATTCTGTGATCTGGCTCTTAGAATCTTGCTCCCCTTTTTCTTTGAGACAGGATGTCATTCTCTTGCCCAGGCTGGAGTGCAGTGGCACAATCTTGGATCACTGCAACCTCCATCTTCTGAGTTCAAGTGATTCTTGTGCCTCAGCTTCCCAAGTAGCTGGGATTACAGACATGTGCCACCATACCCAACTTCTGTATTTTTAGTAGAGACAGGATTTTACCATGTTGGCCAGGCTGGTCTGGAACTCCCAGCCTCAGGTATTCACCTGCCTCAGCCTCCTAAAGTGCTGGGATTACAGCGCCCCCACCAAGCCTGAATCATGCCTCTTATAAAGTTGAAGCTAAGAGCATACTTTCTAGAACTGGATTTGAATCCTGACTCTGTCACTGGCTTTGTAACCCTAGGCATATTATTTAATCTCCCTATGCCTCAGTTTCCTCATCTGAAAAATAGGGATACTAATAGTGCCTGCCTCGCAGATTTGTTGGGAAGATTGACTGAGGGGATCTGTATGAAACAGTCACAGCAGTGCTTTGTATTCAGAATGTGAGTTTGTGTGTGCATGTGTCTGCACAAATATGTACATGTGGAGGTGCATGAGTGGGTTTGTGTTTTTGTGCCTGCCCATGTGTAGGGCGTTCATATGTACATGTATGGGTTTTGTGAGTGTGTGCAGATGTGTTTGTGAGTGTATGTGTGGGGTGTGTGCATATGTGTAGGTGTCTGTGCATGTGGTCTGCACATGCGTGTGCATATTCTTGTATTGGCTGTTATTATTGCACGTTGGACTCAGCATGTTGGCCCAATCCTACACCTCCTTTTGAAGTTTCTTGAGATGTTTAAAAGCTTGTCACCACTGCTTCCCGGTACTCTGAGAACTCTTTTTTAGATTAGCTTTCCCTTTCATAAGAAACTCTGGGATTCTATTTAAATCTCAATTATTAAGTAAGGTTTGGGATTTTATCTTTTACAAAAGAGGGAGATTTAGCTATTGCCCGTAAAATCTGTTGGGATTGGTTCTCAGCCAGTGACTCTCCTTGGCCTTTAAGAGGAAAGAAGCAGCTGAGTAGAATGACAAGATGTGTAGTATAAATTAAACTAAATAAAATAGTAAAACAAATCCCAGCATTCCAGGGCTTAACTATAGATCATATAGGACCCTTTATATTAGCATAAGCTCTACGTTATTGGGGCTCTCTTTATAAGGTGGACCTTTCTAAAATGCGTACTAGACTAAGGACCTGATTTAGAGATCTTCAGTTGGAGAAAGTTTTGTGACAGCACATACAGCCTGACAACAGGAGCACCCACCTCAAGCTAGAGGTATGGATCTTATGTACCTGCAGGGAAACAGACGCATGCTTTAGGTTTAGCTGTCTATTTATTAGGCCAGAAACTCCTTGAAGGCAAGGACGGTACTCAGTACATCTTTTTATCTTAAATGCTCGTGATGAATGAAAAGCTGATCTTCAGTTAGGCCAATAATAAGGAAAACTCAGATAACTAGGCCCTACTTTTCTCTCCCAGCTTTAAGATTCGTTATTTTTTGGCTGGGTGTGGTGGCTCATGACTATAGTCCCAGCACTTTGGGAGGCTGAGGCCAGTGGGTCACAAGGTCAGGAGTTCGCAATCAGACTGGCCAAGGTGGTGAAACTCTGTCTACTAAAAATATGTAAATTAGCTGGGCGTGGTGGTGGGAGCCTGAAGTTCTATCTACACGGGAGCCTGAGGCAGGAGAATCGCTTGAACTTGGGAAATGGAGGTTGCAGTGAGCCAAGATTGTGCCACTGCACGCCAGCCTGGGTGACAAAGTAAGACTTCATCTCAAAAAAAAAAAAAAATTGTTTATTTTACTTTTTTATACTGTAAGGTTCATGAGAATAGAGACTTTTTCCTACTAATTTTTTCATCCTGGGTGCCTCTTACAGTGGGTTTTCTTAATACATGGTTCTTCGACATAAATGTTTTACCCAACTTCAGAGACAACTCAGAGCATAAATTCTTTATTACCTGACTCCCTGGCTCACGTGCATACCTCTTTTATTAACTACCACATAGCTGGACTGAATCAATATGCATTGAGTTAAAATCTTATTGCCATCCATCTCTGTTCCTAGGGTCTCTATTCCAATGTGGTGTGTCCAGGTACAGCATTGACCAATTTGACATACGGAGTTCTGCCTCCCTTCATATGGACACTGTTGATGCCAGCAATATTGCTGGTAAGTGATGATTATGTCTTTTCTTAGCTTATGAAATCTCTTTTTGGGACCTAGTAGATGTGTCTCAGGGTTGGGAAATAATGTAAGGAACTGAACCTGAATGCCATTTAACTTGAGGTTTTTGAGCTTAATTAACGTGAAACCTCTGCTTCATATTTCTTAAGTATTACTTCTGCACCACCATTTGAGTGTGCACTTCTGTTTAAAGGAATGTTTCATTGCTCATGCACCACAGATCCCAAGAGTTCTGTAATCATGTAATTTTAGAAAACCCCTGATAAACATTGTTAAACTGGACTTCTCTGAGTTTTCACAGTGGTCATGCGCATTAAAAGTTCCAAGAAGGAGACAATTGTGCATTATGAACCATGTTTTTGTTTCATGATTTGAACATCTGGCAGGACCATTGTTCCTCCAGCACACATTGGAAAATACTACTTTTAGGAAATGATTCTATCTTCAGGGCTCAGGAAGAAATGTCTCTCCTGAGGGCAAGCATAAGGAAAAGATCAGAAGTATACAGGCCTTCATGTTAAAAGTAGTTGATTTGAAGTAATGAAGATTAAGTGATATGTCTTTTTTTGACTTCTTTATTTTTTGTTACTTAAAAAATTTTCTATAATCAGAAAGGCAGATTTTCTTTTTTAACATTTAAATGAATAATTCTTTTGTGACTCTATTCTAAACATTGTTGTTTTCTTTTCCGCAGATGCGCTTTTTTGCAAATGCATTCACTTTGACACCATACAATGGAACAGAAGCACTGGTATGTTACTGAAGTTTCTACAGCTTGTATGATGGCTTAGCAGGTGTGAATTATAGGTTCACCGGTAGTAGAAATAATTTCAACAGAAAAGATAATAGGAGAATAAGCTCTGTGAATAATCAAGGTCCTGTTTGGAACTAAAGCAGACTTTAAGGCTAAGCGTAAAACACTAGGAGTGAAGTTTGTGAGTGTAACATCTACCATGGCACTGGGCACCATGACTACAGGGAAAGCACTTCTTTAGAGGCAAGATACACCAGCAGCTAGAGGAGAGACAGAGCAGTGGGACACTGGAGGGGCAGGCAAAGCAGGACGGTGACTGCACAATCAGTCTGTGATTTCCCGTGGAGAAAGTGCATCTTGTGGGTCAAGAGCCAGGATAACAAAGTTCAATGCCACTCCTCTCTATGAAGATTTTCTTCCCTCTCTTAGAGCATCAAGTTGTTATTTTATTAGGAAGCCAGTGGGTTTCCTTAAATCTCACATGGCAAATGGATTGCATGTGTTTCCTCATCAATGGCAGACATTACTAATGGGCTATAATACTTCTTTCTGCTCTACACAAGTGGTGTCTCTGAATATTCTTCAACCCAGAGCTCCAGAGGCAGCCTCTACTAGTGGATCAGAATTGTCCTACATAAAAAACCCACTGTATCTGAGTCAGCTCTTTATGTTTGCCTCTCATTCTTTTGAGCTCCTTCAGGATTTTTGTTATTCACTTTGGAAACCTAAGGTTCTAGCACTGTAGTATTTAGTAGATTCTTCAATCTTGACTGAATTGAAATTAGCTAAGGAAGACATAAATGGAATTGGCTTTGATGCTCTTGTTTTGGTAATCATTACAGAAATAAATGCATTTATTGTAGGAACACAAATTGATTATAGAAGCAAGTGCTTTTAAACTATATTTTAATTAGTTCTCAATACATTTGTCAAACCATTCACAGATGATATTTGAGAGGATATTTATAATTTGTGTGGGGAGCTCTGTAAAGTACTAATTGTAAGTCAACACCAGCCTCACTCACCTTGGGCAGAAGAAACAAATCATTGACACGTCCTTTCTTTCCAGGTATGGCTTTTCCACCAAAAGCCTGAATCTCTCAATCCTCTAATCAAATACCTGAGTGCCACCACTGGCTTTGGAAGAAATTACATCACAACCCAGAAGGTAAACGTGCTTACCTTGTTGCACTGATGTTTGCTGCTGCGTTGATAAATTAAGCCCAGTGTTCCTGACCAGCTCCTGAGCCCCCATCTCCCCTTCTCTGGGTCCTCACTCTTCACTGGCATCACACTGGTCTGATTTTATTTCATCTTGCTCTATCCTGCTTCTAAGCCTTCGCATGTCGTGTTCTCTCCACCTGAGCTGCTGCTCTCAGCCTCTTCTTTCAACTGATTTCTGCTCATCCTTCAGATCAGCTTATCCCATAGCCTTTAGTGACCCCATAGACCAGTCTGGGTGCCTCTGTGGTAGGCTTTCTTGAAATCCTGTACCTGTTCCAGATCATGCTTGTTCACCTTCATGTTCCCCTGTCAGGATGTAAGCTCTGTGAGGAGGAAGGTCATACCCCATTTCCTAGCAGGCTGCCTTGCACATGATAGGTACTCAGTCAATACGTTGCAAGTCGGATGAAATATGAAGTGTCTTTCTGTGTGAAGTTAACTTCACTTTGAGTATTCAGTTCTGCTTGTGACAATTATCAGCTTTAATAGATTGGTGTTTTGAAGAGGAACAGGATAATGTGCAGAAAAAAAAATCAAATCAGTACTGTGTTTTTTAGACTTGGTATAATCTTCTGAAATGAAATCAAACATAGAGTTACATACTGGGGAATGAGAAAATTTATTTTAAACTAAGAGAACTATTTTGTTGATACTTTTGTCATGAGTAAGGTTTGTTTCAGCCTCTGATTTTCTACTGCCCAGACTGTTGTGAGGAGGCATTAGCATAAGATACAATGAGATTGAGGCGACTGTTAGCTCAGGTAAGTCAAGTAACTGACATGGATTGTGGGCTTATTAGTAGCATGAGCTGAAAGGGGAGCCATGAGCTTGTCTTCCTGTGCTATCTGTTCACTAAAAGTGAACCTTCCAGGTTTTTCAAAACATATTCTGTGGGATACTAGTTTCTTGAGAAGATTTGCAAGAAGCAGTTCCTCTGGAAAGTAAAATTGAATCATGCTTCATATTACATTCCCCTCTTTCAGAGACTTGTACAGCATGCATCAGCAAAGTAAAGGCTGTGAGAAGTTGAAACAGTTAAGAAATGTGTGTGAAATATTTAATGCTGCTGTTTTCAAAGAGTTCTTGACGATTAATTTTTTTTTTAAAGCAAATTTTACATAACCTGTAACATCCCTTTGGGGAATTCTATTGCAAACTAATAAATAGCTTACTTTAGGCTTGCATAGTGTGTTTGAACTTACTATATATTAACTTGGAGAGAATGATTTGTTTATTAAGGGGAGACATGTTTAATTCTACAAACTGACACAGTCATTGGCACTTTATGGAAATGCATTGAAGAAAGTATTTTAACGTTTGATTAATTTGGGGAAGTCAGCTTTCTCCTCTGTTAAAAGATGGGATTGAACTAGAAGAGTTCTCTAATGCTTCTTCCAGTTCTATTATAGAAAAACTCTAACATGACTGAATGAATATAAATGTTATTTTCAAAAGGTTCAACAGTGTGTTTAATTTTTAGCCTTTCAATTTTATGAACAAAGAGCCTGTTCTTGAAGTTTAGGCTCTGTGTTGACTTGTAAAAAGGACAGCACTATTTTAAAAGGGCTGAAGGTTTGCCTTTATATACAATCGAAATTTTCTGCATGAAACACAAGAATGTAAAGTAACTATAGATTAAACTAGAGAGAATCTTAAATTTCTTGCATATGAAAGCATTTAGGAGAGAGGCAGTCTTGGGCTGCCATGGCAGCTCCACAAATTGTCAGGTACCCGAGTTTCTTGAAGTCACCGCTGGGCCATCTTTAGGGCGTGGCCCTCAGGCTTGCTGCTCAAGAGAGTGGTATGGAAGAAGGGAAGAAGAAAGGACACTATTCCTTTTGAAGAGACTCCAGGCAGTATTTACATCTCACTGGCCAGAACATAGTCTGATGGCTCCAGCACTCATTGTTTCAATGGAGGCTAAAGTATCATCTTTTATCTGGAGGGCAGTGAGCCCAGTTAAAACCAGGGCCCTTTACTAAGCCAGATGGATATTAGGAAGTGAGTAGCTGTTAGAAATTCACAAAACTCTTGATTTTTCTGTTTTGTCCTTTGATTGGTATCTTCTATTTCCTGGGTATATGAAAGTTAGGGAGAGAGCAAACTCAGATCTTTCAGTCTTGCTGCTTCAGGGAAGCATCAGTGGGTTTGGTGAGTGTTGGAACTGAGACTGAGATTTAGTATGTCTTCAGGTGTAGCAGTAGCAGCCACGGGAAACAGATCTCACGAACACCAAATGAAGAAGGAAGAAGTTTATTCAGCCCGGGAGCCTGAGTGATAATGTGTCCAAAGCTCAGCTCGTCTAACAAAGGAAGGCTCTGTCTTTATAGAGGCTTATACTTTAGATATTACACGTGGAAGAATCAATCTCAGGTTTACAGCCTTAGGAATCACATATGAAAGGGTTTCGGTTCATAGTTTGAGGAATCACATATGAAAGAGTTCCGGTTTACAGCTTCAGGAATCACATATGAAGAGGGTTTTGGTTCATAGTTTGAGGAATCACATATGAAAAGCGTTTCGGTTTATAGTTTTAGGACTCACATGTGAAAAGATTTTAGGTTTGATCTTGTTTTAAGTAAAAACTGTCTTCCGGAGAGTTTCCCCAATAATACCAAGCATGTTATTTACAGGAAGGAGATTCAGGAGGTGCCAGCTGGCCTGCTCTCTCTTCTATTGAGAAGCATAGTGGATGACAAAGGGGGAGGCAATCCCAGATGCCTGGGTCTCCTTATCTCCCCACTTTGAGACCCTCACCACTTTATAATATCAGTGAGAGGTCTTACTCTCATTCTCACTTTCCAAATTCTCTGAAGAAACTGATAATGTTTCATATAACTTGTGATGTCATTTTTTTGGCTAACGACAGTAGTGATGAATCCCCTAATCATCTGAAGGAACGGGGAGTAGACAGGGAGCAATAAACAAACGCCTATCATTATTATAACACTTATGATGAGGGTCTTGAATCCTCCTAAGGATGAGAACCAACCTCCAAGTAAGGACTCAGGGTTAAATCCGTGCCACACCTGTACAGGCACGTGTGCCAGTTTGGTCCTGTCTCGCACAATATCCTCCACTGCTTGTCCTGGTCATCTATGTGCAGACAGCAATTGGTTAGATTGAATTTTCCGCAGACTCCTCCTTCAGCTGCCAGCAAATAATCTCAGGCCGGGGGTTCTGATAAATTGCATTTCTCATTTGAGTTTCTTGTCGGGCCAAGAGGGACAGAGCTTTGCCCGTTTGATTAGTATTTCCAAAACAGCCTGCAACCGGATAATCCAATTGACCATCTAAATAGGGGTTCGGTATCCCCATCAGCCATCCTCTGCCCATGTGGCCGGCCCATAATACTCAATAATTCTCTTCAGTGGCCACTCGTCATCTGTCCAGTCTCCTATTTTTAGGTGTCTTTTTCTCCCTAGCAGAGTAGACTGGATACCCTAACAGCTCACCTGTCGTAACAGATAATAGGAAGAAAGAGGGCTTAATGATGCCCGTGACACAGCTACCTGTCCATCTCACGGATCACACACCTTAAACTGTGTGCCATTATATAAACAGGTTCCCTTCTGTGCCCCTGTACATTTATAAGAACATTTTGTAGGACAAAAGAATGGCAGTGACTTTTACACCCTACCTGGTGTACACACTGAGTGTATTCTTTAAAATTGGTTAATGTGCCTATTGTACAAGTCCAAATATTAAGAAGAACAAGTCCCACGATGAATTTCCTCATGTTTTGGCCACACGTGGATGTGGCTGGAGCAAGGCTTGTTGTCCTTTTTAAGGCGATTCTGCAGTCCTTGTCTTGGTCCAAGTCTCAGCTGTTGCTGGTTTTTAGCCGGCTGTGGTGGATTCAGGCTGGGATTCCCTCTACCTTCACGGCTGTGGGAGTGGTCAGGATCAGGTCTGAGGTCCTTTCCATTGTGGCTTTAGAGGGGCTGTACTCCCGTCCTTTATCCACACATGATCACCTAGTGAAAAAGGGTGAACTGGGGAGAAAAAGGCTTACAGGACATTTGTTATTTATTCAGGATGAAGTATCCTGAGCGATTCTCCCTAGAGTTGGTAACTAGCATCCTAACTCAATCTCTCTCCACTCCTGAGGAGTTCCTGGGAGTGCCCAGAGTAGGGGAGGAGGCCTATGATATCAGACTTCATAGGGGAATATCCTGTTTTTTTTTTAAAGGGGGCGCATCTAATTTTGAATGACACCAAGGGAAGTGCCTGCACCCACTTTGACCCTGTTCCTGATACACTTTCCCTAACCTATTTTTGATGGTCCGGTTCATTCTTTTCACTTTTCCCGAACTACGAGGGCAATAGGCAGCGTGCAGTTTCCAAAGTAATACCCCAACACCATTGCTTCTGGGCCAAGTTCGCCGCAAATGCTGGTCTGTTGTTTGGTCTGATGCACAGTGGCAGTCCAAACCTAGGGATAAGATCTCGAAGCAGCACACGAGTTACTTCATGGGCCTTTTTCTCTGTACAGTGCTCCATGGACTTGGAGAGTCAGAAAGTCATATCACGAATCAGTGTAAATGTTTGCAGCCTTATCTTTACTCAACTTTGGGGCTCGAGTCAGAGCAATGGGTTCAGCCTTCTGAGCCGAGGTGCTTTGAGGCAGTGACTTGGCTTCTTTTACAGTGTCCAGAGTCTGCACACCTTTCTCCTCGTGGATTAATAAAACTGCCCCCATCCACATACAACTCCCAGTCTACTACTGTCCATGGCTGATCCCGAAGATCAGGCCTGCTGGAATAAACTGAGTCCAAGACTAACTCAGTTGTGTTCAACCGAGCCCTCTGTCATTGGGAGCAAAATGGCAGGGTTTAAGGTGTTGCAGACCTCAATGGTGATGTGGAGATTTTTATTTTAGCAGGCCCAGGTATTTGGCAGGCCTAGCATTTGTTAGCCAAAGACGTCCTTTGGTATTCATTA